TAGCTCGTCGAGGCATCGCTGAACTGCGTGAACAGGTCGCTTCGCTAGTTGACCAGACTGGCTCATTGAAACGGGACCACTCGAAGGTGGTCTCGGCTCTCGACCGCGGAGGTGTTCTTCGCCTCTCGAAACGGGCTCGTACTGATAGTACGGGCGGAGACGACCAACGTAAAACTTAGGATGTGTGGACATCTTACGGGGCAGCTCAATCGTGTATGCGTTGCCCATTCGGCGCAACACACGAAATGGACTGATGTACCTGGGCAGTAGTTTACTGCTGCCCACGTTTGTCACTGCGTGCTTCGGTAAGTTTACTGTAGACAGTAAAACTAGGTCTCCTTCATCAAATGAAAGAACGTTCGCTCTTCCATGTTCGTCTGCGTTTCTCTTCTGTCTGTCTAGTACATCTGCAATAGAGTCTTGAACGAAGCGGACAACCGCTTCGCGAGTCAGCAGAAATTCCTCTGCTGATTCATCCTTGTCAACAGCAGTGCGCTTCGTGTGCACTTCTGAAAGGACGTTGTCTTCACCAGTGAGGGTGTCATCGTCCTCACTTTGGCGGTCATTGGCGATGCTGAATATGCCAGCATCGTCGTCATCGTCATCATCGATATCGATCCCATCGACATCGGCATCCATCACGTCGACACCATTGTCGACGGGTGATGAGCAAGAACCAGATCGGTTTTTGTTCGAGCGATTCCACCCCCCCTTAAACTAGAGTCACACTCTAAGAAGGCGGGTAAACGTGGATGGCGTAGGCCATTCACGAAGAACGGGGTATGCGTTGTCGACGCGTGCACCGAGTTGTTGATGGCAAATTCCGCCATCGACAAGAACTCACTCCAACTCGTAAACGAGTGGACGTACCCTCGAAGTATCTCTTCGAGGACGCGTTTGATGCGTTACGTCTGACCATCTGTTTCACGATGGTCAGAAGTTGAACATCTTCAAACGTGTTCCAAGTGAACGGAACACGGATTGCCAGAACTCTGCTGTGAAGCGGGGGTTCCTATCAGGCACGAGTTCACGGGGTAACCCGTGAAGTCGAAAGATAGTATTGATGAAGACACGAGCACGCCATGGGCTGTGATTGACTCCGGTACAGCAACAAGATGTACCATCTTGCTGAACCGATCAACAAACACAAAAATACCAGTATTCGTGTGAGCGTCTTTGGGAAACCCGAAGATGAAGTCCATCGATACGGACTGCCAACACTCTGCCGGAATTGGAAGAGACTGCAAGGGTGCGCGGGATGAAGGACTAGGCTTCACCCGTTGACAAACTTCGCAAGCGCGAATGTATCTGCGCACAAACTCATACTGGGGGGGGGCCAGTAGAAGTCAACACTCACCGTGGAGTAAGTCTTTTCCCTATCGCGATGCCCACTTGTTGGGTAATTGTGACACTCACACATGATGCGCTATCGCAAATTATCATGAGCGGGAACGACGACACGAGGTGTGTCGCCGTTGACTGCTGTATAGTACAGCATTCCATCACGAACTGAATACCGTTAGGTTGAAGAGAGATATTGATACTTTAAGCTTTTCAAAGCTTCACTGCATGGATTAGACACGTAATCCATCAATCGCAGAAGAGACTCATCTTCTGCGTATGCTTTCCGCACGTCTTCGAGCATTCGACGACAGAACACTCACTGATAGTGTTGCAACAGTGGGATCACCCCTACAGTTGAGCTGAGCATTCGGCTCCAAATCGGGCCGACGCGAAAGATCATCAGCGACGACATTAAGTCGTCCTGGTTTACACTATACGGAGAAGTTGTACTTCGCGAAGAAAGACAGCCACCTCGCCATTCATCGCGAGAGGCGTGGACTGTTCACGGCCGTGCGTAATGACGCATGGTCGGCATAAACGATGAAGGGCCTGTCTTTTGAGAGATATACCCGAAACTTGGCCAGTGCATATTTCATGGCAGAAGCTCATTGTCATGCACCGGATAATTTCGCTCAGCTGCTTGCAGCTGACGCGATTGATAACAGACGACGCGCTCAACGCCGTCTGAGTCGTACTGCATCAACGCGCAGCCGATCGCAAAATCGCTTGCGTCACAGACCACATGAAATGGTCTATCCTGGTCTGCAATCTCCACACAGGCGTTTGTATCAAGCTTTTCTTGATACCTTAGAGGGAGTGCTGACACTCAGCACTTCATGACCACCTTTCCTTTTTCTTTAGTAGACGAGAGAGATGTACAGTCATCTCGGCATAGTTGCACGAGTATTTGTGCAAATATACTGCCAAGCCAAGGAACTTTTGAAGTCCCTTGACGTCGACTGGCACAGGCCAGTCACTGATCGCCTTGATCTTTTCCGGATCAGGGCGTACACCGTTTTTACCCACGATGCAGCCAAGAAGTGGTATTTCGCTCGCTGCGAATATACACTTCTTGAGGTCCGCGAACAACTTATGCTCTCGCAGTAGAGTAAGAACCTTCCGGACGTGAATTCTATGACCCTCCACGTCCGTATTTTTATCCATAGCCCGGCTATGGACGAATACATCGTCGAAGTAACTCGGTGCGAAATTGCGCACCGATCGCAACAGGTTCGTAACACATCTGTTAAACGTTGCGGGGGCGTTACTTAGTCCCTGTGGCGTCACTAGCCACTCCCAGAGCATACCACTGGGGGTGCTCACTGCTGTGTAAGGGATATCCCGTTCACGCATGAGGATTTGATAGAATCCAATCATCAAATCCATGGACAAAAAGATGGTACTCTTTGCCATACCATCTATGATGACGTCCTTCCTTGGGATCGGCGTTTGAGCCGGTACCGTTGCAGCGTTCAGTTTATTTAACGCGTGCACTATCCGCCACCCTCCTGTGGCCTTTCGCACACAGAAGGTCGGACAGCTGTGTGGGGATGTTGATTCCCTCACATGACCAGCCGCTAAACGATCGGCAAAGAATTTGTCGATCGCTGTGACCTGTTCACGAGGCAGTGTCCACTGCTTCATGACACAGTACTTCAAAAAAGGTTTCAGTTTGATATCATGCCGAGTGCATTTGTCCTTAGGCAGCTCGCATGGCACGGATTCAGGGAAACATCCCTGAAGTCAACCAAATCCTTATACAAAGGATTTGTCTTCAAAGACTCCCAAGATTGAGACGTATGCCAATCAATCCGAGTCTTCTCATCGAGGACACTCTCGTCCAACGATGAGCTACTTAGAACCCGTTCGTTCCCAGCAAACACTTGTGCCGACCGAATATCGGCGATGTACGCGTCCTCTGTGACGAGTACGCAGATCTGCTTGATCTTGTCACTACGCAGATCTCGCAAGAATCTTTTAGATTTAGCGTTGGCAACTTGACTACCGCCGAAGCTGACTTCGGGGGCGTCACAGATCAAGTGTATGAGCGCCTACACTTGATCCGTCATTCACCAAGACATTCCCTGACTCGGTAATTTTCTGGGAAAACGCATCTGAAGGTTGTTGGGGACCCACACCCTCAACATAACTCTCTCGGGAGTTATTTCTCTCAGGAACGCCGAAATTTTCTTCCGTAACGTGTCTTATCACGGTCTCGTCCTCTTCGATCAACTCTCTTTCAGTCGATCGGGTTTGCTCTACGATCGCCTCTCTGATAGTCGATCTTGCTTCAACGTGTTGTTCATCCTGAACAACACTACTCTCTCTTCTCGGATGCACCCTTCTTGGTGTGCATCTGTGTTCCAGTCCACTCGGTCTCTTCGAGTCGTGAACCTTCGGCGCAGCCTGTGTCTCAACACAGGTGCCGGAAGCTGGTTCCACAGAGCCTTCTACACTGTGATCTTGTGCAGTCACGCGAAAGACCGTACCACAAGTGAGGCCATCACACTCACTCGTAGTACATCCACACGCTTTTGGACGCTCCAAGACGTTCATCAGATGGCCATCCGATGAACAAACGGCAGGCATCTTCACGGATCGATGCTGCCACCTAACCCATGGCCGGTACTCTCTAAGCCATGGCAGACCAAGGATGACATCAAATTTGTTATCCAAATCTAATACGATGAAGTCATCATCGTACTGCTTTCCTTCTAGAGCGTAGTGAATTCCCACTACACGTGTGTTCACTGTTACGGATGCGCCTGTAGCAAGGCACACCGTCATCCTCTTGGAGGGAACTTTCGCTTAACATAGTTAAGACTACTATCCCTTAGCGACTGGCGTCGAATAAAACTGTTCGACGCCCCACAGTCAACTAGGGCGCGAAGTGACATTCCACTTGTCACTTCGATCTTCAAAGTGATGAGGGACTCCTCACCACTAGGGGCAGTAACTCACAGCGACTGTGTGTTGGGAGCAATCTTCGTCAAGAGTCCTGCAAATTCTCTTGACGTTGCTGGATCAGCAGAGTACTCCGCCCCTACTGACCCTGTCTGTTTTTTGGCGGTCCGACTTGCTGTTGCGAATTAGCGACATGTTCGGACCCGCGCCTTGGACCTTCCTTGGCCAACGGCGGTCATCACGTCCTGTCTTTGGAAGTAATGCGGTGCTCGGGACACTACACTCATAAGCGTAGTGTCCAATCTTCTGACAGCGATGGCATCTTGCCGTTCGCTTGTGACTCAGAGAGCGAGAGTTCTCGCTTTAGATGTAACAGAGGTCCATTGGTTCGGGACCTCATGTTTCCTGTCGTCTCGTCGGACGATAGTTTAACGAGTTAGCCTGAGACTGTCTCAGGCTGAAGTCTTCTTGTTCCGCTTACGCTATCGCCCTTTCCAGCGTATGGAAGTCCTCTGGGAACATGTAGGTCTTCACCGGCCCATCTACAAGGCCGTAGATGAACACGTTGATGAGCGTGTGCTCATCAACCAGGGTTTTTCGTGACGCTACTCTCAAGGTAGCGTAGGTGTTGAGCATAAGCGTGCACGTCACGCTTACCTTGCTTTAGCCTCAAGAGTGCAGAGCGTGCTCTGAACTCGGCTCTCGGCGGCTCAAACGTCTCTTTGAGCCGAGACTTAAAGGTCTCTAACGACTCAAACACGTTTGGGTCGTGAAGCTTGAGCCCTAAGGCCCAAGTCTTTGCTCGTCCTGTTGACCAGGATAAGAGCGAAGGTGACTTGCGTCTCGTCACCCTCGATGTGACGGGCCCTGACGGCATCGTCTAACTCGACGAACCATCTCAAAAGGGAATCTTCATCGGTTCCCTTGTACCTTGAGATATCAATATTCAAGGTTTCGGGTTGACGAATGTGCGTCGGCCCGCCCATTGACTGATGAGAGCCTTGCTGCTGTAGCAAGGCTATCTTCTGTCGTTCGACGGCAAGTTTCCCTTGTAGGAACTTGTTGATAGAAGCATGTTGCTGGTCTCTGCTTAGAGACTCTAACATGCCACTGATGGCGGGTTCGCCCATGAGCACACTCATGCGGCCGACTACCTCCCATTCTGAGTCACTCAGATGGGAGTAGCCTTCACGTGTGACGTGAAAGCTCTCGTCTCCTACGTCCAACATGTTCATGTTGCACGTACACTAAGTAGTCGTTGGACGGATTACGAACTGCTACCAGGTGTAACGGGGCACCCTTTGTTTGGGGTGCCACGAAACTTCACGTACACCAGTACGTGAAGAGGAAGCTAATCTACTCAAACAGCTAATTTGAGTAAAGGATAAACAGAGAACTGTATTTAAAAGATAAGCTATCAATATAACTTTAATCTTTACCTAACTACATTAAACTACGTCGTCGTATGACGACAACCTGCTCACCACCCATTGCGCGCGTCCAGCAGCGATTGGTGGTAACTTTGGTTGATATGTCTTTATCAACCAATCTTTGAGCAGCGCATGTATATTATCCTAATCGATAATATTCCTTCAATATTATCCATCTCAACAGATATTGGTAGGAATTTGTCAAGCTGGACAATCTCCCTATTGACAACGTTTGGTGTCAATATCATGGAACGGGCTACCCCGTTACAAGTACAGCTCGACTTGCTGCGCTGTGCAATTTTTAAGCCCTGTGAGACATTATAAGACATGACCAAGCGACTTGGGGACAGTTGATTAAATCAAATCGAACGAAGAGGCAGGCCTGGCGTTCTCGGCCGAGTGACAAAACACGTGATCCGATCAAGTTCCACGTACAGGCGATACTCGGGTAAACCATACAAGCTTCGCGAACTTACTTGACTGCGACGCGATAGTGCTGTCCGTACGTCATAGACAAAAAATGACACTCTGAAATGAGGTCCACAGACAACGTTTGATCTGCCTATTGTCGTGGCGGCCAGCTAGATAGGTGTCAAGTTTCATTGCGTTTGCGAGTTTGTTTCGCTTCGCTGCATGCTGTTTACACCTGCTGCCACATACAGATCGACGCTTACGTCTTGCGGCACCACGAAGGGTAGAGCGATACCGCAGTCGGTATATGTGGGTACAATGCAAAGTGAGTGCTAACGGACTCGCCTGGACTAGAATAGTACAACCAACTGCAGTTTATTCATTGATACTCTAGCTTTTAAGGTGATCAAGTCGTAGCGATGCGGACACCCGCGACGCAGGGCACGGACATCGCCGACGTCCAAGCAATCCCTTTTCTCCCCGACCTTTGCTCTAGATAATGCCAAGCGACGGCTGAAAACTACGCTTGAGAAACTCATGCAACATCACTGCCACCCCCTCTCGCACTATGCAGCTCTCAGCCACGATACTTGTCAGGCTTCCTCGGGCCGCACTAGTCGTAAGGACCAGTAGGTCGTTGACAAAGGCAGACAACAGCGCGAATCGCTGCTGTTTACTGCCAAACAGTCGCCGTACCGTCCAGTACTGATGCTTCGAAGCGATCGCAACCTGCACGAGCTCCTGGCAGTCCACGCACATGCTCACATGTCCTCCGTTCGCCCTTATCAGCGCCACAACACCGTCGCGAAGCCAACGAAACTCGGAAAACCGACGCTCTACCACAAAGTCCGGCTCGCGCTCGGCCATGATAAAGTCACGCATCGCCAGTGGCGACAGTTGAGAAGCCGGTGAGGCCCTGTATACACTTTCCGAGAGCCGGCACCGTGCGGCACTGCGCTGAAGAAAGACATCGGCGACGTAGAAGCGGGAGCCATTGCGACGGATGTTTCTCGACACTCGAACGCACTCGAGACGCTGCAGAGGGACGAGCGAGCTACTGCAGTTGCGCGTCTTTGCCGCCATCGTAAATGAACTGGAGGTGGCAGCATCAATCGCGGATGAAGAAGGTGTGGTCTGGACCTGCGGCGCGGTCGTGTTCGTAGTCCATGACATGGCTCTGGACACGAATGCGAAATGCGAGAAGCGAGAGATCAGGAGCAGCAAATGCTGAGACAACGCGATAAAGCCGAGATGTCTCTACGTAGGCGTCGGAATGTGTCAGTTTAAATGCGGCTAGCAACGGCACACCAAGGTCAGCGGCAGTGCGAACGGTGCTGCTCTAGGGTTGGTTCCTCACTGAACGATAACCGGTCGGAAGGGCTCGCTGGGTCGGTATATCATTGCAGCGCAGCCAATTCAAAAGAACCTGTTGCCGAACGATTACTGTCGTCTACGGTGTAGAAGAAGGCAGCGAGCTGAATAGCCTGGTCCGTTCGGAAGACTAGATTGGAGTGACTGGAGTTATGTAGCTTCATCACGAATCACAACATTTATCACCATGTCATTGAGCGCGTTAAACACTCGTATGCCACCTTCGTGCAGAAAGGAACGTCCATCGATGTGAGCTAATACCCTTGTGCAAGCCACGAAACGGAAGTGACACACGATCGATCTCTCCACTCGATACGCTTCCGTCTAAATTTGGCATCAATCGCGTAAAGTGTAGTGAGAAAAGCTATCCGTTTGTGCAGTCAACTTGCTCTATTCAGAGAAGCCCTTGCCAGCTGCAGCGGCAGATATTTCTCAATGCGCCATTGCACGAGTTACCTTAGCCTGCAGTACCGCCTGCGTCACGATATGCAGCCTGATCTACACCCGTACTGAAGTCGAACGCAACAGCAACGAGTATCCCGATATGCTACCGCATTTCATCGCAACACTGACAGAAAGCGGTCGCTTTGAGCTCATCTACGGACGCACTCGTTTCGAACGGAACGAGGTATCCGGTTGGTTGGTTGACCCAGTGTCAAATGCTCGGCTTCAACGAAGTGCACAGCGGCATTAGTTACGACAGCTGCTGGATGTAGTGAGGCTAAGAGCTTTTCGTTTGTCCGTCGCGGCGGAGAAAGCGTTTCAACGACTTGACGCTCCATTTCCGAATGTAAAAAGAACCAGCTCGAGTAGCGACGGCCTGCGTAGCGTCGCCTGCCCTACGAGCAGCTGTTAGGAGGAATGTTTGAACGGCCGGTCGAAGGGTCTTGTTAACTTCCTGAGTGAACGCATATACGTGAGCACGGCATTGCGTCTGTTGGCGGTGAAGGTGGATCACAAAATTGGTTTCGGGGCTCGGTGTGGTATTGAATCCGAGGGTAGAGTCCACTATCTTCAAGATCTAGAACAAAAAGTAGTGTTCATGTTGCAATGGAGAGTCCGTCTCCTTTCTGGAGAAGTGCTGCGATTGAGGTCCGATCTATGAGGAAAATGGTCGTAATACGATTTGGCTTCCTTTCGATGCGTGTCGGATGACGAAGAGGGTGAGCAGACGCACGAAGATTGCGGAAGCGGAGAAAGAAAAGAAGTCGGGAAGTGCACGTCAACCGTAAACGCGCCGGTGGACAACTCACGAGAGTTATGGTTGTTCAACTGCAAAGAAGGTGCAAGGCAAATGTGTATGTGGCAAACTCATGAGATCAGCAGAGGCCCCGCAATCATCACGATGTGGGGACAGCTTTGCGTGCCAATTCTGTGCGAAACGGGACTACACGCAATGACCTATAGAGAGGTTGTTCCAAACAAATGACGCCGCCGATACGCACTTGACCATCCAGGCGTAACGCAATAATCGAGAAGATTTCACCACGTACAGACTGGTGTATGAATGGCCGTCTACTGATACGAAGTGTATGACGACTAGTAGTACAGTGACCAGTTTGTGTCAACTGATGATGGCTAGCTTCAAGCCCCGTGTCGCTCGCAGCAAGGATATGCTCGTCTTTCTTGACCCAATATCCCCAAATCCACCTTCGTCGAGGTACATTCGAAGTGTCTCAAAAGGACGTCAACAGGGGTGTTTGTGTTAGCGAAACATTGCATCCATCCATCACCATGGTACATACACAGCTTCTGTGCATGCGTGGACAACGACTGGTAGCGATGGCGCGACGAAGGTCAAGCAAGGTTTCACCCGTGCTTTTTATATCGGATGCTTGAAGGCAAGTTCCGTGCACCCGCCATTGCTTCGATATGCATCGTAGAGCTTCTATTCACATACTTCGCCGCATTGTAACGACACGTGCTTTGCTGGGCACATTCCAGACTCGCTTGTCCGGGGACAGTCCCGTCCCATCGTGTCTCGCATTACTTTCACTGGTGATGTCGGTCACGTCGACATGTCGTTCTTTAGTCGATGGCAGCACTGGATGCGACCACAAGTTCCACAACATCTGCTGCTTCTCCGTGTATTGACGTAAAAAGAGTTTTCGGAGAGAGCCGTAATGTATATGGTATTCGTACCACTTGGCAAAACATCTCGCTCCTCTCAATCGTAGTTTGACGAACAGACGTTCATTGCACGGTAAACGTCAGTGCTTTCAGGCTCTAAAACGTCGTAGAGATAGAAATGGCCTGCCTCGGGGCATGTACATTTCGTAGAGTGGCCGTCGGCTTTGCATACACCGGCATGCTCCTAGCAGTACGGCGCTGTCCGAAGCACTGCCGCGAAAGTATGAAGACTGCTGTCAACAGGCTGTCGAGTGCCCTAACCTATCACTACCATTTTCTGCTTTGGTTGGGGGGGATAAGCCGATCATATCGCTACTTCGCAAGCCCTTCGTCGCTAGGTTGTGACCGCCCCGAGTGTCTGTTAACTGGCTCGGAATGTCTCTGCTGCCATGTGATGGGCTTCTGCCACGTGTATTTGGCTGCAATAAGTCGCGTGGTCTTTCCATGTAGTCAACAAGAGACACACCTTGAGCCTCGCTCCACACATGTTGAGCCTAGCAGCATACACTGACGATCGAGACTGGGAACACGACAAGAGACTCGTTCGTGTTTACGCCATCGCTACAAAAAATCACACAGATTTACACCGTGGCCAATCGCTGAGACAGCGTTTGTGGCAAGGTCGCGCCGTCGTAGGCCCGGCTTTTCTGCCAACGCACGCAATCGCGGAAGCGAGGAACATAATGCTCGGGAAGCGGATTGGCTCACACAGGGGGCGCCCCGTCTGTCCCCTCGAGACCATCTTCTGTCCCCTAGTCTCGCCAGCCGTCTGTCCACCGATTATGTTAGGACAGTAGTCCCCTAACCGCCGATTACGACATCTTCTTTCGGTCCATGTCACCGCAATCTTCGACGTCGTCGTCGCCGCTATTTCATTGGCTCCCACCCGTCCCTCTTCGCCTCAGACGCCGCCGCCGTTCGCGCTCTGTGTCGACTGTCTCCATTATCCAACTCACCGTCCAGAACGTACCCAATAGCGTCAACCCGTCAAGTTTCTCGTCTCTCCTCTTGTCCCGATACCACACGATGCCGCCACCTGCTATCGACACGACGAACGACCTCGCGTCGCTGCAGTTGATCCCGCGCCTCATACGCTCAGCGTCGTCCATCAAGGAGCCCGTGGACACCAAAGCGCCTCCGCTCACGCCCGTGGTCGTCGAGCCCTTACGCTGGTCCACTGCGTCTTTCTCGCTGTCGTTCTTGAGCAACATCGAACGCCTCGCGATCAACGAGACGGTCGAGCGCAATGGCGTGACGCACTACGTCGTGCAAGTCTATCAGTTCCACTCGAACTCGCGGCTTCCTACGAACGTGAACAATCCACGGCTGGCCGTCCCGCGCCTGTCTGACGTCGGGGAGCAGCCCTGCGAGCCGGACTTTCGCGTCGAGCGACGGTACTCGGACTTTGCCAAGCTGCGCCACCAAGTGAAGCTCTGGACGTGTCCGAACGCACACTTTGCATGCCCTTATTGCCACGAGTACAACCGGTACATTCGGTTCAAGCTCCGCCAGCCACGACGGCTCGCGGCCTTTTGCACGAGCGTGAAAACGCGGCAGGAGATCCTGCAGGAGTTCATGACGGACTTTGTCGACCTGGCGCAGAACTCGTCGAAAAACACTTTGCGGCGATGCGAAGCGCACCATCACGTGCCGGCGTTGCTCGAGTCGTTCCTTCGGGATTGAGTCGACGTGGCGTTTTTGACAGATAGTACCTGCGTGTCTGATGTATACGTATCCCTGTATAATCGATGCCTACGCTCGAGGTAATTGTGCTGTCGAACAGTAGGTAGGTCCATAGGTCCCTCTAATTTAATTAACCCCAAACTGAACTTGTGAAATGCCAACTGAACCACAACTCAACTGTGCGCTCGAAGTGGCAGTAGTGAACGTGCGACTACTTCTGAATCAATGACCTGGCCATAAAAGCAGAGACCAGCCCTGTCGTCGAGCATAACAATGGACGACCGAGAGTACGAACGCATCTGCTCGCTGACTGCGTTCCCTGCAGCAGATGCAACGCCGCGACTTTCAGTGACGGAAGAGCGCTTTGTGATCATCAAGAAGCAGCTCCACCATCGTCACTTGCGCTTGGCCTTGCGTCGTCATGGTCAGGACCGACATTTGACACGCTATTTGGCACGTCGCGCCGCTGGCGAGTCGAGTTGTAGCATCGCCACGTCCGTCGCGTTTTCCCCGTGCATGATGGCGCGATTGTTGCTGAAAGCCCAGTACGGGTGGAGCAAGACGACGATTGCGAAGCTGTTCAAAGAAGCGATGAAGGACAGGGCGCGTTTAGATGGGAAGGTGCGGTGGACGATCGGCGGGAGTAGTCAAGTAGTGTCGGAAGAGGACTATGCAAAGGTGATTCCAGAGGTAGTGAGTGACATGAAGTGGTCGTGTTGTAGTTTTTGTCCTGGATTTGGATGGGGGTTTATAGGTTGAGGGCGTGGGTGATGATATGTTATTGGTGACCCTGCTGCGGTATGTGCAGATTCGGGAGTGCATTGACGCGGACGAGTATTGTTCCCCGTTGGCCGATCGCGTTCGCCATAGTATCGGCCAAGAGTACGAAGACTTGCTCTTGATGACGTTACGGAATCGACAGCTGCTGTTTGAGAGCGAGGAGATGCTGCGGGAGAAAGGGCTGTCGAAGACTCCGGATGTGCGGCTGTTGCTGCCCATTGGCGTGAGAGACCCGAAGAACGGTCAACAACTACACGTGGTCAACTGGATCGATAGCAAGGCCATGTTCGGAGATCGGTACACGCACGAAACAGAGAACGCGAGTCAGGTAATAATGGTGCTTTACTGCTGCTGCTGCTGTTGCTGCTGCTGCTGAGGATCGGTGTGGGCATTTGAGCTCACCGTTCATCTACGTGATCATCGTAGTTGCAAGGGTATGTCAACCGCTTTGGGCCTGGGATGGTGATTTACTGGTTCGGGTATGTTGCACAGCTGAGTTCCGACAGCGACGTTTTCGTGACGGATTCGTTTCCACGAGAGATCTTTCTTCCTGGTGCTTTCGATCCGCTTGCATCAGTGACAAAGGTGCGCAAAGGTGATGTCGTAGAGTTACGCTCGGCAAAGGTACAGACAGACTTTGACGAGGACTGGATCCCCATGACGTCCGTCGTCTGCGAGTGGTAAGAACGTGCTTGCTGCTTGTGTGGATATTGCTGCGCAAGGATTCTGTGTCAACCACTTGTCTGGTTTGTTACGTAAATCGAAGAGCTTTTACGTCTGAAGATCCCTGCTCAACCGATGTTTGCCATGCCCGCATTTACTCCAGCCAGTCGTTCGTCTTCGCATTGTTGAGCAGGAAGGCTTTTACCATAGCAGGAACTCGACTCTGCGCTCGACATTTGCGTATTCCAGGCGTCCGTGCTCGACGCTGCCCCATCATGACAAAGTCCTGGATAAATAGCTCAAGGAGCTGTTTGCGTTTCTCCGTGCTGGATGTAAGCTTAGCTATGCCGCGTGGCTGGCTGAACTTGAAGCGGATGTAAATCACAAAGTCCATGCAATACGGACAAGTACATTGGGGGATGCGGCACACGGTTTTCAGCACGTCCTTGCGCAACTCTTCGAAATCACCAAAGCTTCGTTCGACGATGAATGCCGGTCGGCTATTGCTAATGTGGCGCGTGTGCAGTGTATCATCCTTCGGGTCGCACGGGCTCGTGGGTAGGCGTGAAACAGGTGGACTCAGAAACACCGCCAGTATGAACTGCAGTTCGTTGTCTTCACCAGCACGTAGATCGTTGATTTCAAGGTGCTCGATACTCCGAAGGAAGCCGAGCGAGGGACTGGAGTTCCAGCGGCGATAGGTTTCCAACTGAAGCTGTAAACCCGGATGTAGCTGTTGGAGTCGCGATGCAATCGGCTGTTCGATTCGCTCCCCGGGTTTGGCCGTCACGAAGATCGCACAGTCTTGAGGTGTGAGGGTCCGGAGCTGGTGGGCCACCCTGCACGTTTTTGGTGGTGGCGAGGTCGTCGCTGTTGTTGTTCCGGCCATTTCGCTCGAGTCGACGACGAGCTGGAGAACTTCGTAGGTGGAAGGAAGATACGAAGAAATGCGACGACGGTATCGGCTTGATCTCCCTGATCGTCGCCGCTTCTTATCGCTGCACCGTCTGCATGGATCACTATGGAACTACTACCCGCAAATGTAATGCAGGACAAGGTCCGATGATGAACACGTACCACTGAAGCATCTGTCACCTCACTGCTGTTGATTCCCGATGCGTCAACCGGGTTCGTGAGTGAGGTTGAGGCGCTTTTGACAAGTGATGAAGGAGTGATGGAGACGTTGGTGCAAATCTGGTGTGAAGCAAGCTAGCAAGCTGACAAAGCGAGCGGTGTTTAGTGACGGTTGATGTGGTAATACTCGCGACCACCTTTGATACGGTCACTCTGCGACGTCGCGAAAGGTTTAGACCGACATGGTGTGTGTGCCCTCGCGACATACACACCGTTGACCGTCACTCCCGTCCATAGACGTCTCGTTCCGATGGGATGAGCGATTCATCCTGCCTTCACCGTCACTTGGTCATCCACCAACGAGCGATCCAACAGGACAGCTACAACAAAGGCCCGAAGTAGACTCGGTCTTCTCGAGTGCACTCGGACTTGCACCTGCTGGCAACAAGCACCTGATGATTGCAGGTATACCCGTTGCCATCGGGATGTCTGCTACAACGAATCGGAACTGATAATGGATGGACAAATGCTGTTGATCCGCATCCTCCATCAAGAGCTCCTCTTGATGGAGCGATGCTGGAACGCATGAGCTAACGAACGCGCAAGCATTCAGCTAGCGAGCCACAGCCAGCCACTGCATATTCACAACGCTCTCAGTTCGAGCCCTTTAGGTACATGGAAACACAGCATCAAGCAGATAGCACACATGATTCAGCTCCGTATTCACCAACGCGTTGACGGTCTTGTAGCAGTATCTGGCAACCTTTGACGCGTCCACGATTCTGGACGTTGTACGTTAGCAAGAAGCGTGCCATACATGATGAATCTCTGCATCAAGAAGGAGCGCATGACACCGGGAAGACTTAGTATGCCGTTCATTGGACTTTGTCACTTGCGTGCAAGAAGTTTAGTCTGCGTCGGTATCATTGCAGTGCGCGCTTACTAGCGAAGGGAACAAACTGAACCGATGAGCACTAGGCTTCTCGATCACTTGCAAGCCATTGATTCCTGTGGACCGACAGTGTGAAGCAATGGCACAAGTAAGAAACACGAAGTCGCAGCTAGAACGTGACCTGCTCGCAGCACTAGCCGCTGTCTCATCGTGAGCAATACGAGTGACGTCCACGTCAAGCTTTTCAGCGTGTTAAGCCGAAGACATCCCTAGGTCCGCTTGCGCTGAACAAGGTTCAACTGCATTTGAAGCAAGACCGCACACGAGCTAATGGAGCACAGAGGATTTGAAGTCCCGATGGCACGGCGCGGCAGAATTTCGTAGACGTCTAGACCGAGTTTGAGCAGGTTCACCGTAGCGTAAGGAGCGCCGACCAGAGCCAGAAAGTCGAGCGTTACACGTCGCGTCTCCACCCTCGTCTCCACTAACGGAAGCTTGAAGTGCGACTATCCACGGCAATTCGACGATACAGACCGAACATGGTCTGGACAAGTTCCTGCTGGTGTCCCGCTCAGCATCGGCTCCCACGAGCTCTTTTTTCTGGCCCTCAAGTGCCGGTTCAGTAGTAACGACATGGCGTCCGTGTTTCTCACGGGACCAGCAAAAGACGGGGTGATGGGCATACCAACTTGTGGACGGGAGCAGGCTGCGTGGATGGATGTACACAGCCCATGATAAGCTCTTGCTACACCGTCGCATCAAGCAAGTTCTTGAGATTCAGTGTCAAGACCACCTGCTTGTGTCCATCCTCTCAGAGAACTGATACGATAGCATCGGAGCAAACCCAGACAGTGACACAAACTGTCGAGATGTCGCTGCACGTCACGTCCGACGATGCCAGGCTACCGAAAACGTACATGCGATAGTTCATACTGCAATTGCCGGAATGGCAGGCGGGTCGCTCTTTGAGGTTGGCGATGACGTCGAGTTCTGGCGCGTATTGGTCAACTTGAGCATCTTGGCTTGCTGTCTCGTGCTCTTGGAAGGAGCAGTACATCGTCTCGAGCACAAGTTCCCACCTTCGGAAAAGTACCAGCACATGCTCAAGAAAACGTACCGAGAACTCATGGTGCTTGGTCTGATCAGTTTTGGGCTCAAGATGCTGAAGGAAGTGCCAAGTTTTGACGGCTACAGCAAGACCATCCTGGCTTTTCAAGTAGCAGACTTGACCATCTTTCTCCTGGCACTTTCGCTCGTCTTGCAGTCCATGGCCGTGTTCCTGCTTCTCCACAGCCAAAACAACCGAGCCGAACGCGCGGAGCTCATGACGACACAAGACCTTGTGGATTCCATCAAGGACCCGAAAGATGCTCGTCCGTCCTTCTTGGGCACATTGTGCTGTAGTCTTACCGCCAAGCAGAGAGCGAATACGAGAGAACTGATCCAGCTTCGTCTCCTGCGACGGTTGTTCCTTCGTCGCTTTGGCCTGCCACAGCTTTTCCCGTTCTCGAAATACCTCAACCGAGCTCAAGCGAACCAAATCGCGCACATGATTGAAGTGGACGCGTCCATGTGGATCGTGCTGCTCATTGTCGCCTGGTCGATCTGTGGCCTACTTGCACTCATTCAGCATTACAACAGTGGCGTCTCCGAGAGCCACGATTTAGTCGAGGCTTTCATGATCTTTGCCTGGCTGCTCCTGCTGCTGCAACTCATTGTGTTTCTGCACCTCCGCTCCTGCGTGCACCAGCTTCTTCAAGCTGCAGCATTTAGCACTGACAAAGACACTCTTGCTACAAACCTGAGCACCATTGCCAAGGAAGAGGCCGAGACTTGGCGAAATGAAGAGGCGGACACAGCATTGGAGACCATGGGAAGTATCCAAGAGCACCACGAAGAGCTCGAGTCGCAACGTCGTCGTCCTCGCAGCAAAGGCGAAGCCTCTAGCAGTCAGAGGAGAGTGAGTTTGAGCGGCGCCATGCCGGAGTCACCGGCCCTGAACATCCGCTACTTTTCGCCCAAAGCCTGGCACGTTGGGGTCATGCTCTTGCTCGTACTCAACGGGTTCCTCATCACGCTCTTCATCCAATGTGCTTTGTACGACATGAACGACATTTACGATGACTTTGGGGTGTTCGCGACGATAATGGTCCCGCTGCCATTGCTCATCAACACCTTTGTCCTGCAGCGACACATTTTCTACGACTACGTGGTCGTGAGTAACATCCTCTGCGTGGATTCCCACACGCTGAGCGACGTGGTGGAAAACTTTCGCGAAGTGGTGCGCTTACGGTCCGAGTTTGCCTCGTCGTTGCTCTACCACATTACGCAGCAAGAGATCAGCATTGTGGACCTCGAGACGGAGCTCCAAGCACGGGATCGAGCAGGTACGGGGTTCATTGAAGTCGACGAGCTCCGCGACGTGCTGTTTAAGTTCGGCTACTGCCTCACCCGCTTCCGCTTCAATAGCGTGGCGAAACTGCTGTTTGACCTCAAGGGCACGACGGTCCCCTACACGCACGTCTTGCGTCTCGTTCTCATGGCTCAGAACGACACGAGCATTGAATCCGCAACTACTGAACAACAGCAGCAGCAGCAGCAGGTGCCGCGCACGCACCCAATGTTACGCCCGAGTGTGCTGCTCTACGATGACTTTGGACAGTCCACGAGTGTGCGGTCCGAGGCGAACTACGACATGTTCAACTCGACTCGGCACCTGCCTCGGATGAACCACAACCCATCCGGTAGGGGCAGCTCCGTGATTAGCAGTGGCATGGGAAGCTTGATCAAGCCCCAAACGGGGTGTCCCAAAGAGCGCAATGGCGTGAACCGACTGGGGAAAGTCCCCGTGGCCGTGGCGGCTCCCCGCTCGAGCACTGGCGGGAGCGCCCGCGCCCTTCACGACATGTTCAATCTGGAGCAGTTCTCGTCCTCGCACGATCAATTGCGCGGGATGCAGCTCTGAGAGAAGCGCTTCTCGGGACGCAAGTGGCGGCTCGTACGCGCATCACTCATCGTTTATCTTATGTCAGTACGTTATGTTCATCCCGTCCAGATTTCTAAATTTAGTCCATCGGATAAAGTCCCAAACGATAGAGACCGAGCCCGTTTTTTGAACTTCCATGTGGCAGCTGCTTATCCTGTTGCTGCTGCTGCTGGGGGCAGTCGCTTGGCAGCCGCTCGAGAGCTACTTGGCGCCGGCGACTCATGAATTGTATACGGTTGTCAGCCGCAGTGACGACGGGGATTCCGTTGTGGCCGTCGTGCGTCGCAACGGGCTTCTGTATATGCTCTACGACGAAACGATCATCGGGGCCGAGTTCGATGGCCCGTCTGTGCGCCACCAGACGGTTTTTCCCGGCTTTACGATTATGCAATGTGCTGCTTATTTACAGGATAAGCCCACGCGTGCCGTGCAAATCGGTCTTGGCATCGGGTCCGTCCCGACGTTTCTGCGCGCAATGTCGATTCCTACAGGTTAGGTGGACGTTACGTCAATGCTGTTTACTCCGCTGTTCTTATCCTGCAAAAGACGCGATAACGGACTGTTTTTGTATTCAGACGTGGTGGAGATCAGCAATGCCGTGGTGACCCAAGCAACCGACTACTTCCAGTACGAATGGTGTCTTCAACAACAGCATCAACAACAGAAACAGGATAACCGTGAGAACGAGGCAGGTTATCGAGGTGACAAGTCGTGTCCCAATGGACGGACGTTCGTAATGGACGGATTAGAGTTCGTATCCAGTATGCCGTCCGACATACCAGGCATCCCAGTGAACGAGCAGGACCATCCCTATGACCTCGTTATTGTCGACGTGTACACGGGCTGGAACCCTGTTGCCTTTTTCGTGCGGGAGAAAATGCTGCAAGTCCGAGCCAACTGGTTGAGAGATGATGGCGTGCTGGTCATGAACTTTGTCGGGTACATGCACGGACCTCCTGCAGTTGTCCCCAAGTCGATCTACCGCACACTGCAAAGCGTGTTTAAGTACGTGAAATGCTTTCGTGAAATGGAGAGACTCGACGAGCTGGACGCGATGAACCTCGTCTTTTACGCTTCGGACAAGCCAATTGGCTTCAACCTGCCGACCACGCAGATGTATCGAGACCCTCCTGACCACACCTACTTCAGTGTACGTGTTCTTCATGCTTGAGCTGTGCTGGGCTCTGCTATCATCGTGTATGGGGTGCTGACATGGGATGCTGGGGTTTTATTGCCGCAGGTGGTCAAGAGCTTTCCGGAATGGGAGGTACGAACGGGGTATTGTCAGAGTAAATGTGCGGGATGCAACGTCACTGACTCGGGTCCTTGGGTTGCGTTCGGTCGTAGATCTTCACGGAGCTGCAGGATCATGTTGAAGTTGCAGTGCACCAAGAGATGGAGGACGAAGAAGTGCACTTTGTGGCGTCAAACGAGGACGAGTGGTCAACGACGGGAGACGCGCTTGTTGCTGCTCCGCGCGTACTAACGGAGACCGATCATGGCCAAGAGGAATTTCGTGAGGTTCATACTGACACACAGGTCCACATGCGGGAGCGCGTTCTCGATCAGTTCCCTCCAGCACTTTGGATAGAGCTCAAGCAGAAGCGTGCGACAACGACTGCGAAGGAGCTGTAAGCAAACTTGCAACACGTGGGGTTAGAACACGCACACAGTGTGCGTTGTGTGCATTATACAGTTGAAGTTTTATGTGCAGGTTGGTTGGTTGGTCCATCCGCCAAGCTGCTAACGTCGCTGCTTCTTCCATGCCACAGCACTTGGGCTTTCTAGTTCTTCTTCATACATCACGTCGTCCTCCTCTTCCTCCTCCTCTTCCTCCGTACACACCACAACTTTCATCTCCTGCCGAGCGACAACATCCTGGACAAACTGCAGTTCCGTCGCTGGCAGTTCCAGGTAAGCGCCCAGCTCCGCAGCATCGCTTTGAAGACGGCGTGCCTTCTCAATGTTCCACTCTTCAATCTCGAGTGCCTTGGTCGCGCGTAACCACTGCGCAGCTTTGCTCACTCGTTCAGCAATCGTCAATTGCATCAACCGGTACTCCTCACGTGGAAACGTGAAACCAGGCTGCTGGGTCTTCACGTCTTGCAGTAAGGCAGCCAAGTGGGCATACCGCGGAGCTCGATTATCAGGACCCAACACGAGTTCACATGCCCGCAAGCACCAGTGCACAGCCCCTAATTGAGTCTGTGCCCTCTCCAGCCCAACTTCCAGACCCGTCACGCGCTCCATGAGTTGAATAACTCCAGCTTCTTGACTCTGCACGTAGTTGGGCGTGGCAAAAGCACTGGGTGAAAACTCTCGCAGCGCAAACTTGTGGGTAAAAATGCCGACTTCGCGCTCGACCCTCTTCACAGCCTCCACATAAGCTACGAGCTCATGTGCTCCTGGAGGCCACGCCACCAATTGGGTCTGCATCTGCCCCAAAAAGCTCTCGACTCGAGCGAGTGCTGGTCGTCTGCCCAAACACTCGCGACGCAGCAGCTTCTTGTCAAGGTAGTACAGGTTCTGTCGACGCGAGCATCGAGGACAGCGAAATGCATCGATGCAGTCGAGCTCTTGCGGCATGAGGTCCACGCACGCTGCATGATACCATTCATCACAGAAATCACAGCAGATCATAGGAGCTTGATCGACGCCACGGCAGACGCAAAACACTTGAGGCGACTCCGTATCCCTTGGGCTTTGACGTTTGCGCTGAGAAGGACGGCATGTGCCGCAAATGAAGGCGTCCTTTGGATGCCGAGCCACCAAGTCCGGCGCGCACTGAGGATGGTAGTACCGCTGACAGCGTTGGCAAGTCACGACTTGAGCTCGCTCGCTCAGAATCTGCTTGCAGACGCAGTACAACTGCGAATGCAAATGCAAAGCCTGGTTCGGATTGTGCGCGAGTTGCTGCTGGACCATCTTCAAGGCCGTCTGCAAGAACTGAGCCAACGAGAGATGGCTGTTTGACGGACGCAGAAACAAGGCGTGAACAGCTTCGTACCAACGACGGCAGTCTTGCAACCGTGAGTGAACTTGTCGACGCAGTAGAGACGAACTCGGCACAAAATGAGCATCGGCTTGCGCGAACAGCTCCTCAACCTCATCAACCGATGGTCGCTCCATCATCGACTTATGACCGTGACAAGGAGAGGTCCCAGAGACAACCGCCATGACTTGTCGGACACGGCGTTCCCATAACCGACACTTCTCTAGTCGATCCTTGAGCTCCTGTGCGTTCTGTGGTGAGAATGGGTAGCGAGGTCGCCCTTCGGAGCAATACCTCGAGCTCTTCTGTGCTTTTCGAGCGATCGCTTAGTGCTTCTTCCACCTCTGCTGCCTCGACATTAGTGGTTGCTATAAGCTTCCGCAACGCCTCGGCATTTGCAATCCCGTATGGGCTTGCTAAGTGTAATTTCCGCACGTCATCCAGCACTCGTTCAACTTGCGTTTGCGTCGGTGCCCCCACAGCGTCACTCCCTTGGGCTCTCTCGACAATACTGGCAGCTAGCACGTTCACTTTGCACAGTACTTCCAAGTACTGCTGGGCACTTGCAAGTTGACTGCATAAACTACCAGCGGCATCGTTTTCTTTCTTTGCACGCAAGCAATTGCTCACATCGACAATAGCCGTACAAAGCTGACCAAAGTGCACATTGCTGCGAAGTAACGTGTTGGGAGCGCCCATCCAATGAACAATCGATGCAACATCGGTGGATGAAGCTCTTGGACGAATTTTCTTTGCCACCTCATCGCAGAAGATATCGTTTGTCGACTTGAGCATCACGGCAGCCTCGTTCCGCATTGTGCGCCACTCGTTTACAATGTCCTGAACCTTTTCAAAGGTGACGGGCTCAACCAGCAATTTCTTTGCTCCCGTCAACAAGGACTCAAACTCTTCGATACTCAAGTGCACTTGCTCTTGCGAATCGAACGCCATCAGTAGCCGAGCAACTTGGGCGTCCCAGTGCTCAACACGAGCAATTGCACGTTCCAATGAATCCAATCGATCGCAATCGGCACCACCGCAAGATTTGCCACACGACAGCAGTCGCTTTAGATCAGATAATGATACCTCAGGTGCGAAAGAACAGTCAGCCGAGCGTTTGCGATACTGCATCACGGCGTCACACGCTCTGCTCCATGCCCGAACGCTATTTAGTCGCCTCCGCAAGTCATCAACCATGTTTTCGAGATGCGTGGCTTCATAGCGATACAAATACACAAAATTCTCTGGATCACCGCACTTGCACATTTTCGGGTAGTGCTCCAAACAACCAACGACAGCATCACTATTACTCCCATGGGGTGGACGGCACCTAGTGCACACAACTGCCTGGAGATAGCAGTACTGCTGGCAAGTTACGCAGCGGAGCCCCTCATTTTTACCTGAACGGCCTGCCCACAGCGCCATCCTGTTTGGCCGCATGGATGTCTCGGAGCTTTTCATCCCCCCCTTCATCTTAGTACCTCGCTTGCATCGTGCCGAGACAGTACCTGTCATCTTTGAAAAGCGATTGCATGCTCGAGCTACCACACCCGGTCTCATTGAAGATGTTAACGCTTCGGCATCAGTCGCGCCAGCTCCTAGGTACTCCTGCTTCTCAAAATCGGCAATGAGCTTCCGCTTTGCCACATGTGTTGTACTGTTCGTGTCATTCACTCGCCGCTGGAACTCGAAATAACTCTGCAGCAACTGCTCTACCGCTGGAAGCAAGAACGACTCGGTATTTTCAAACTCAAAGCTGCTGCCATCGACAAGGCTCTCCGCCAGAGTACATACCAGTGCCTCATGACAAAACACAGGCAGCTTGCAGAACTCCCGATACTTTCGCAAAGACTTTGCACCCCAGGGCAACCAGTCCATAGTGGCAAAATTCACCGCTTCAGCGCAATTAAAACCAGTGTTGAAACCAGCATGATACGCTGACGGGAACGTGACCATAAACTCATTCGGGCGGTGTGTCGCGCGATACACAGGCACGCCGTGTTCTCGCAACGTTTTAGGTGAAAACATCGTAACCAGCTGCATGTGCAGATCTGGCTGACTACCAAAGAGCTCCGGTGTGAGTTTCTTCATGGTGCGTTCGAAATGCTCAGCGCTGGCACAAGGGATACCGTACCATGTCTTAGGTGCACCGCAGTGCAAATAGCTCGTGCTGTAGAAATTGTGGTCTTCCACGTGCCAACAAAACGTGGAAAAGCACATTCCTGCATACAACCACGGAACCATTACACCTTTAATGTCGACGTCCAAGTGTTGAAGCACCGATCCCGGCAACTTGGGCATGTTGTTCAAGTTCCAGTCATCCTGTGCGTATCGATGTAGTAAATCCTCAATCGACTGCGCAGCGTCAGCGTTCTCATTATTTCCTCCTGCGTTCGTTGACAAACCCCCACGCAACCCATGCGAAAAGAACTCGCTGAGTTGACGAACGTAGTCACTCTTCGCCTCGGCAGTCAGATTTTTCCAACGCTTGGACACGGTACGGAAGTTCTTCATATACAAATCCAGACGAGGAAAGCCGCTGCCATTGGAACCTGTATCGACATCGCTGCCATACTGTACCTCAAGCCGCTGTTCGTGCACGGGAACGCTCAGCAACTTCCAGTATTCAGTTTCTAAATCCCGGTCGCTAATCGCTTCGTCCGGATTGACATCGGACGGCAACGAAAAATACTTCCGTTTCCAGGCGTCGGCACGTTCCTTGTAGTCTACCATACTGATCTCTGCTCCCATATCGAAACCAAACTTAGGATTGGTCTTGCGTTTCTCGGGATCCGTTGCATCTCGCACGCATTCCTTGCAATACCAATCACCGGTAGGCACCGCAGGCAACGGGTGTTCCAGACAAAAAAGATGCTGCCCACTGTTGCAGCCGTCACAAAGCAGCATCCGGTTCCAGCAATCGCCGCGCAGACAAACCTGACAGATCTCACTATTGTACGCAAGCTCAGCCGCACTCGCATCCCAGCCGTTAGCTATCAGAATTTCCATACTAGACATTTCAATGTCATCGTTGGAGTCACTATCCAAGTAACGCACAGCAACGTGTGGCTTCTTTCCGCCAAAGACACGTTTGACCTCAGTCAACACGGCTCCCGAATCGGGGAAAAACCGATAGAACTTCTGCCCCACACGAATTTCTGGAGGACCGAGTCTCACATTGCGTGTACTCGACGGCTTCAACGATTCGGGATCCAGGGCGCGTTGCAAAACCTGTCGGTCGTGGTCTGGCTGCCAATTTGTAGATTTTGGCGACATGGCTGGGTGGCTGTCGCTCTCTTCGCTGCTTGTGTGTTCGCCCTCTGAACACAGAGCACGCTTCACGAGTCCATCATCACCGTCTCGTATATCGCCCTTGCATTCTTTTGTGGACATCGTTCCACTAAGACTTCGAGGCTTAGACGACGGTGTCACCTCAGTATCGCTAGACCTGTTTGTTTCAGAAGCCGTGGCTATTATCCTGCCAGCCTCGCCCTTCACTTTAGTCTCTAGTATGCCACCACTACTGCCACCGTTTTCCTTAGCTTCCTGTTCCTTCTCATAGGAGAGCAACAGCGTCTCGTAATACGCTTTATAGGTGTAGCACAGCGCTTCCGAAGGATCGCTTACAGATTTTGTGCGACCGACTCGACGTACAACCTGCCCCCATCTATCACTTGCACACACCGCATGAAATCCTCCAAGTAAAACCACCGTCTTATACAGCAGGTGCAGATTGACCAGCTGCCCGTCAGCACGCGGCAGTTCCTTCATGGGTTCACCTCGTTGGTACAAAAAGAGTCGTAGTGCTTCCACGAACTGGCCTTCTGCACGTGAATGACCTTCAATGCAATTCAGCTGTTGCACACGTGTCCGAAAACGAAAGGTCTTTTCATTGATCGCAAACGGTGGTCTCCAGCTTTTGGGCGGCACAATCTTGCAAATACCAGCTTGCATTCCAATATGGCGAATACTAACGACACACACAATGAATAAAACAACAACATGTCAGCTCTTGAGTTCACTTTCCACTTCTTTCAGCTTCGATGCCATCAGCCCATCAGCTCTTGGCATCACGATCTCAAGCTTCATAGCTCTCCAATTACAGCTCCGTAGAACCATTTTATCGGTCAAAGTGACATCACGGCCGTTGGCACCACATCAACGTCAAACGTCACTAGGTGACGTTCAAGTGATGTGTCCTTTCTATGTACTTCAAGGGTAAAGTCCATTGGAAATGATGACGTCCATGCAGCGCTGTGGCTAGTTGAGACGGAAGGAAGGAAGAAGCACTGCAAATAAATAAAATACCATACCTGGAAATATATTTCAGCGGGTGCTCGAACTCCACCGCTGTAGGGTAGAAGACTGGGCATGGCGGGCAGATATAGCCATCTGTGTCGGTAGCCATGGGGTCCCAGTCCATTGGCAAAGAGACTATGTGTCGTGACTAGGAGTGGAACGACCTGTCGACTTGTTCTTTACACCGAGGCGAATACGAGAGTGCGACCAAGCGGACGACGAAATAGGGCGGCTGGCTATGTGCAGCTCTTATACCTACATATGTAAATTCGCAGCAAACGACTCCGCCAATGGGCGACGTCGTGTATTTGTCGTTTTCATCGATTGTTGATGTAAAAATCTTAATCACTCGTGTCAAAAGTAGGTTAGTAGTTACGAGCATGAACATAACACGGACACAACAAGTAACGACGATTTGGCCTACAAGGTAGATGCAAGACCTGTCCTTGCAGCACCCGTCACTACTGTACCTGCAGTACATGTAACAAGTAGCACTGCTTCCTACTAACTATATACCGTCTCGGTGCTACCACTACTGTAGTGCAGCTCTTCCGACGACTACTTTCTCTGCCAAGTAGGTGACAAGCTCTAGTGTTGATCCTTATTCGAATATACAGGTTCGTGTTGACTTGATGCGTAGACGGCTATAGCTTCAATCTTCACCACCCGGGCATTTCTAGCGATGCAAAAGGTATCAGACGCATACTTCTGTATCTCAGCTACACGTTGGTACCATGCACGTAGACAGGAGACGGTCAGGGGCGACACACGCGTCGCACCGAAGCTATTTCTCGTCGCGCCGTCTGTCGACCGAATTTATGCCTCCTGTCCATTGTGCATAAATCGTCCACTGTGAACTGGAGTGGCGCTGCTCTTAGGAATTCGGAACTGTACGAAAGCCGGAGGAACACGAGCTTGGGGTGGTATTTTATGAACGAGCGAGAATAAAAAACGGCGGCCGGAGTCTCCATGATTGCGCGCTGCATTCTTGAACAGCGTTCAGATTATGCGCGAGGATTGTTTTCAGTCCTCTGCACGGTCCTTGGTAGTGAGATCACGAGCGTAAGAAAGCGACTTGGTGTTGCTTGAACGAGTACAAACGTTTCTGGAAAAAGAAGAGGTCGACACAGCTCTTCCCATCGATCAACAGGCTGTCGCTGGTAGAGCTCCAGGAAGCTTTGCCGTAAGCGTTAGAGGGTTCAATGTACTCGTCAGTGTCATCTATATGCTTGTCAAAAAGGGGAGGTTGAGAACGCTCATCGTTGCAGGACGTATGGCTGTTGGGATAGGTGGCGCTACGTCCGGCTATGACATGCTCGCCATGCCAATGGTGACAGCGCTCAGCGGAAGTGAAGTGGTTACAAATGGACTGTGCCATCTTGGGTAGCTCCCAGTCGAGCTGTATGTCGTGCATCGAATGTAAGTGCACGCTGAACTGATCTAGATGATCGTACGGCAGTACGCTATTGGCCAAAGTAACGTATGTGGCTGCCGTCGATGGACATCGCTGCGATATCGTTTCGAGCAATGGTGACGAGATGCAACGCGTGCGCATGTGTATGCCCTTCTACACGAACGAGTGACATAATTTACTGTCAGCTCAAGCTCGATCAAGGTCGCGGAAGAACGGGAACAGGTGTGGCAGCCCAAAGCGACGAATGGACGACAAAATCTGGACCAGTTCTCTCGTGTCCGCTCTCTTCTTGGCTCCAAGACGAGAGCAAGTGCCTGCTATAGCCATCGAAACTTGGGACTTCCACCAGCGTTTAGAGCCCAATGCAAATCAGACCAGGTACCATGAGTTCTTGGTACGTTTTCTGAAGCATGTGCTGGTACGTTTCCGTCATAAGCTCCGCATTCGAGCGATGCACTGCTCCTTGCACGACCGACAAGGCGAAAGTAAGCAGAACTAAATGCTCGCTGCAAGAAGAATACCACTCGATTTGTGTCGCCCCGACCAATCCCCAAGGACCCGAGGTGCTGAATTCTACCATTGATATTGAAAGCCAGCTGGTCAAATCGATCAAGGGTCGCTCGCTACTCCCTACTAAATATTCATTCTCACAGTCCAGCCAGTCTCTCACCCATCGCTTGTTCATTGGTCAAAACAGCTTTGACACGGTCATTATCATCCAACCAATGACAGCCAAGCCAATCATTCCCTGTCCAGTCCAGACGTATCATGGTCGAGAAGCGTCCGAGTGCAGTCGGCGACTCGCCGAGCGACGGCCAGCGCCACAAGCGACAGACGACGGAGTCGGACCGCACTATTCAGTCGCTAGACGTCACGGTGTCTCCCATGAGTCAAAGTCCTGCGGTCCAGGCGTCACTGCTGCCTGCAAACTCCACGTCAACATCCACGTCCCCAAGAGCTCTTTTTCCAGCCGCAGTGCCGCCACCAATACTCGTATTCAGCGGCAAATTTCAAGTTTTGGAACTTGATAATGAGCAGATCGTGACGTCAGTGAAGCGTGACGCTCAAGGCGCTTCCTGGCGAGTCATTTGGCAGCCTCGAAGCCTCACGGACCATTCGTTTGTCGGTGTCTTTGTCGAGCTCGTTACCGACACGCGAGAGCACCACAATGTGTCGCCACGACTGGCTGAGGTCAGGATCGCACTCTTGCATCAAGGGGGTCGTGCGTCGGTTGCGAAACACACGAGCGTGCATGCATTTTCCAAGGACACGCCATTGTTCGGCATGAGTCAGTTTTGTTTACGCAGTGACTTGCTGAATCCGTGCAATCATTTCTTGACAACTGATGGAAAAGTGGAGATTGAAGTGCAGCTGACGTTTGTTGCGGATACTACAGATATTGAAATAGAGATCGAGGAAAACGCGCATGCGCCAATGGTCTCGTCTCGTCAAGATGGAGCCTGGACAAATGATTCACAGTCGATACAGGATTTGCACTCGTACGACTCGAAAGAGGAGACAGGGATGGTGGGGTTGAAGAATCAGGGAGCCACGTGCTACTTGAACTCGTTGCTGCAGACGCTGTTCCACTTGCGAGCATTTAGGCAGATGGTGTATGAGACGCCTACTGCTGAAGAAGACACGAATAATTCCGTGTCGTTGGCATTACAGCGTGTATTTCACCGGTTACAGAGTCAACAAAAGGTAGTGTCGACGAAGGAACTGACGCGCTCGTTTGGATGGAGTGCGATTGACTCTTTCATGCAACATGACGTGCAGGAGCTGTACCGAATTTTGTGCGATCGGTTAGAAGAAAAAATGAAACACACGAGAGTGGACTCGGCAATTCCGAAGCTTTTTGAAGGCAAAGTAAGGTCTTTTGTGCAATGTGTGAATGTGGACTTTCAGTCTTTTCGTGACGAAAGCTTTTATGACTTGCAACTGGATGTCAAAGGCTGTAAGGATTTAATGCAGTCCTTTCGCAAGTATGTGGAGGTAGAACTGTTGGACGGAGACAATCAATACGAAGCTGAGGGACATGGAAAACAGGATGCCAAGAAGGGCATCGAGTTCGCCACTTTTCCGCCTGTTCTTAATATCCAGCTTAAGCGCTTTGAGTACGATGCCATGCGTGATGGCATGGTCAAGGTTCACGATCGCTTCGAGTTTCCAAAAGTTCTTATTCTCGATGAATTTATCGCTCACAGTAGCGCAACAAAAGACACCAACGAGAAATCTCCACGGTATGTTTATCATCTCCATAGTGTTCTGGTTCACAGTGGTGATGTGCACGGCGGTCATTACTACGTATTTATTCGACCTGGAAAGCATACTAGTTCAAGTACGAGTTGGTTCAAGTTTGACGATGACCAGATCACGCGCGTGGATGAACGTATAGCAATCGAGGGAAATTTTGGTTCTGGTGGGACTCCTGTAACACCACAAGGAGGATCTACGGAATCGCCGTTGCCTTTGCACTCGTCATCAATTTTTGGTCCGTCTGATATAAACGCTGAAAATGCTAATGAGCCTGGTGGCATGGATGGCTTAGAATTTACGTCGGTGGCTGCACCGGGCGAGCCCGGTACTGGTGGCGGCAGCGCAACGGATGAAGGATATGAGTACAGTCAATATAACGACACAAGCAGTGTCCCGTTACGTCCTTCGTCAAGCACTCAGATGCTTCCACTTGGTAGGAGTTTTTCTAGCGCATACATGCTTGTGTACGTGCGCAACGGTGAGAACGACATCAGCGCCATTCAGGAAGGGGCTTTTGTGGATACAGAGAGTATCACAACGACACCTTGTGCTTCAAAAGAGATTTCCGCGGCTGATCATTTACTCAACATCATTAAAACGGAAGTACCACCTATCAAACCAGAGATTCGTACTTGGGAAAGCGATCCGGTGTCGATTCCGACCGAGCTGGTTACACGGTTCCACGAGGAGGAAAAAGCAGTTAGCCGGCGCAAGAAAGCTCAGCAGACAGAGCACTTGTACATGAACCTACGTATTGCTTCCGACACGAGCATCGCCAAACTGAGACGTATAACAAAGACGATGGACTTTTCTGGATTTAATAACTCGAACACGTTGCGTATCCGCATTAAACGCACCGCATCGATCCGGCAGCTCTACCGTCGAGTGTATAAAGAGACCGGCGTTCCCATGTTACGACAGCGCTTGTGGAAAGTCATTACGCGCGAAAATCGTACAACACGACCTGATCAACCTCTCGGTCCCGATTTGTTTGGCTGTCGTGTGGACTGGCTGATCGAGGATGATGCATCGCATAAAGCCCCTGTTAGACTGTATCTTCAGATACTGAGTAGCGTGCCGAAATCTCCCCCATCGCCGTCGTCCCCGTCCATCCATGCTCTCGAAGTAGAAGAATTGAGTAAGATCACAGCACCGGTTATCCATCGGCATTTTTGGGATGAATTTACACCTCCAGAGATTGAAAACAAATCGTTTGGTACAGGTGATACAACAGCTAGCCAGGGGACGGAGGATGGTGATGAGGATGCGGCCATTGCATTTGCTCCGGCTGGTGAAAGCATCGTAGTCGACCACGCGCCGGCGCTGCAGAGTTACGAAATTGTGTTGTTCATCAAGTTTTATGACCCTAAGCGGAAACTTGGCGAGCGTTTGGAGTATGTAGGTAACGTAGTAGTGGATTCGCGGATAACTGGTGCGGAGCTAGCGAAGTATCTGCACGACGCACTATCGCTTCCTATTATTGCGGAGTTACTGTTGTACGAGGAGGTTCAATCGACCTCTGTGTCTGAGATCGACATGGAGTCAACATTAACGGGATCTGAAATTCAGAATGGTGATATAATTTGCTTCCAGTATGCAGCAAACGAAGATGTGTCGAACTGCGTTGTGATAAATCCAGGAATGGACGATGATCTTGGTGTGGTGGGGACGACGTATATCGGCCCTGATGGTGAAGAAATGAACAGTGTGATTTGTCCAGATAGTGAAGATAATCTGGCACATACCAGTTCATTACCGAATTTGAGTGCCAGGTATAACAATGACAATCAAAGCCCTCATAGCCACGGGTTGGCTAAGGTAAGGCAACCATGTGCTGGAAAGCTTCACCAGCATCAGAGGCAGCTATCAGAGAGGTATCCAGACGTGCCCTCGTACTTCCAATACTTGCTGGATCGCGTGGAGGTGACTTTTCATCGGTATGGGCATTCGGAGGAAGAGTCCTTTACCCTTTCACTTTTGTTCAGTAACGTGTATGATGAGGTGATCGATGCTGTGGCGTCACACTTGGGACTTCTTGGTCCAAAACGGTTGTTTGTACGATTGTACCAGCACTCACCTCTTAATAATTTGCCCATGAAGTCGCCGCTGCGTCATTCCCGATACGCTGGGGACGATCAAACTACATTGGAGGAGCTGCTTACTGAATATATGGAGCGCACCAATATTTTATACTACGAGCTGCTGAGTTATCCTATTACAGAGATTGAAGCGAAGAAGGAGCTACTCGTGCATCTCAGCATTTATGATGCTTGCTTTGCTACCGAAGAGGCAGCGTCGCCATCACCTGTTTCACCCCAGCGCCATATTGAAGTGCTTGTCAAGCCCACGCATACGGTTCGCGACTTGCTCAAACTTATCCGGAAAGGGTGCCGGCTACCAGAGGACACACCGTTGCGTGCATGCGAGACCGTCCAGCACGGAACGATGATCACGCGTTTGATTCAGGAAGACGTGCCGCTGCAAGGCTACTGGGGTCAAGGTGCTGTGTCAGACCCCCATTCGCCTGAGATTTTGGTGGAACAGATTCCTATGTACGAGATCAATAGCGATAACGATATGGTGGACAAGCAGGCGTCCGCAATGTCAGAGCATAGGGTGTCCGGTGTCGCTAGTACAGAGGTCGTCACAGAAGGAGAGATGTCATTGAAGAAGACCGAAACTGCTCATGTACGTTCACCGCGCCAGTTGAAGGATGTGTCGCCTGATGACGACGAAGCCACAATGTGGTATTACAAGGGCGTGGTGCATTTCAACTTCCAGAATACCTCCCAAAAGTTGATACACCCGCATGGAGTGCCATGTGTCGTGCGTTTTAGCGAGCGCGATACCGTCGGCGCCATCAAGGAGCGTATACGCCAGCGGTACGTTCCCTACTTTGACTTTTGCTGCCTGTTTTGCTGCACGTGTAAATGTGCTCGAGTAGCTAACTACCTTGTACAGAATGGGTATCTCGTTTGAAGTCTTTGCACAGTGGAATTTTGCGCTCGTCAAGGACCTGAAAGCGTCAACGCTGCAGAACGTGTACGACGAAATGGAGCCCGAGGCGCTCGACGCGTTCCCCATGTCGCGGCTCACCGAGCTCTGCGGAGCCGACTTCGAACATTTAGGCAGCTTAGGGCTGGAGCATGCGGACCCGACGCCGGTGCCTCGCCACCACAGCACCAGGAGACTGGAAACTGGTATTCACATCCGTCAGAGCTGAGCTGAGCCGAATCGTCAAACAAGCAAGACACGATACGGAGTGCAGGGCAGATCGAGTCGTTCTTCTCCCTGCTGAGACGACGATCCGTGCCGTCGTTGGGCTCTGTCCCATTTGGCCAAGTTCCTCGTCCGACTTTGTATTGGCGGAAGACTTGATGACTTTGTCAAATGCACCAACTTGAAGGAACCAGGCGACGAGAAGTGCCTCACGTTGTTACTCTGCTGCCAGCACTACTGGCCCGCCCGTCACTAGGGACGAGACAAGCCAACTATTGGGTTGGCAGTCATCCTCCCATCAGTAATAGTAATAGTCACAGTAGTCCTCTTACTTCGTCGAAGTAGCAGGAAGTAACGAAGCAGTTGATGACGCTGACCAAGACGTGCGCCAGTTACAATTGATAACCTGTCAAGTATAATATAACTGCACAACCGTGCGACATCTGAAACTACCAGCACTTTCCTCCCCAACAAGACTAACCTCTACATCCAAATAGCCGCTCCTCGAACAGCTACCAACGCCACTGGCGATATACCAAACCATCCTCACTCTCTCTCTCTCTCTAGTATGAAGAAAGACCGACAACTCGCCAGTCCCGTTCGTACCGTCTAGAGCGCTCCTCATGACCGCGCCACTCGTGCTGCCTCTGGACCGTCCACCACGAGCGCTGAAGTGGCGTCCAGATCCAGCGGCCACACGCCAGTGGCCAGCTGCCTCCTCCACCGGTCAAACGGACGTGACGCCGTCCCCTTCCGCTGGTACAACCCGAGCCAACAAGTCTCGACGTGACGACGTGCAGCCGCCCCACAGCAGTACGAACAGCTGTGACATGAATGCCGCTTTCCCGTGCAGTCGGCAGCACCCAAGTCGTCGCCATTGCGTGACCTCCGACATGCTTTCGTTCACGGCCACGGTTGTGCACGTCCCTCGTCGCTCCACTAGCAGCTGCGAACCCACGGACCAAGACCTGAAGCAGGAGAAGAAGAGTTTGACTCGATCTGGAGACGGCGGGAGTCGTCGGTCGGGCGACGTGGCGACACGGCACGAACGACGACGACGACGGGGTGAAGGGGTTGCAAGGCCGCAACAAGACGATGACGGTGTTGCAGAAAGCGCAGCAGAAGACAAAGCAGAAGAAGAAGAAGAAAGAGCAGGAGGTGAAGAAGACGATGAGACGGGGACGACTCTTTATCGGTCGGAGCCAAACGTGACGATGCGGCGTCGTCCGTTTGAGGTCCCGACGTCGCGGCCGTGTGTGGAAATGAAGATTGAAGCGACGGCTGAGACGGCCACTCCGGCGGTACGGGATGGCTACATGTACCCTTGGGGCAGTAGCCCTACGAGTGATGGTTTCTATGCCGACACTCGAGAGGCGCGTGGGAAAACTACTGCTACTGCTACTGCTACTAGTACCGCTTTCACTACTGCTGGTACTACTAAACGAGGCAGCACTGGACGTGTATGGGGTCGAGCACTGAGTGTCGCGCAGAATGGCGACGATAGTACGACGATTGCAGCGCTCGTGACGGCAACGCCAACGACCGTGTGGAACACGTTTCTGCAGACTATAGACATCTTTGCAGATGTGCCGGCAGTTACTGGGCGGGAACAAGTCGCTGCTCGGGCCCGCCGTGGTGTGCAGATGCTGGATGGTTTGCCCACGACACACGCAGTCTACTCGTGGGCACAACATGCCGTGCGTGTACGTTGTGTGGCAAGGACATTGTTACGATTGGGGTTTCAAACAAGAGAAGGAGTGGTCATTTGTGCACAAGCTAGCCCGTTACTGCATGCAATCAATCTTGCAGCTGTATCATTGGGTGGCGTAGTCGCTCATGTTCGCAGCTCGTGGAGTGCACGTGAACTTCGGGACGACATTTTGCCGACGGCCGGAGCATCGGTTGTGGTTGTTGACTCACTCGGAAACAACTTTCGAGAAGCGCTGGAAGCTTTATGTGATGAGCGTAAGGCTATTGGAAAGCCTATTCGTGCCGTAGTGGTGCTCGGGGGCTCAGCTGCAATGGACTCTGCTGTCGTGGATCTGCGTGTCAGCGGCATCAACGTTATTGGAACACAAGATCTGCTCGCAGTGAACACACCCGCAACTGAGGAGGCTGCTATGGCGTTTTCGCTTGATTCACTAGCATCTGAAGTGCTGCCAGGCCAATGCTGCTTGCTAGCGTTTAACTACGACAGTCGGGGTTGCGTCCGGTGTGCAGAGCTTTCGCATGACAATGTCATATTTACAGCAGCTGCCTTGGTCCGAAGCTTTGGTTTGACCAGTCACGATCGCCTCGTGGGATACTTACCTCTGCATCACGTGGCGTCGCAGGTGCTGGAGTTTTACGTGCCGCTTATTGCAGGACTAATGGTGGTTTGTGCGCCAACGTATGATCTGCCCCTTGTACGAATAGTTACAGAGCACAAGCCAACCGTGTTTTTTGCAGCACCAGCGACTTGGACGCGCTTTAGTCAGCAAGTCTATTGCGCTAAAGGCGACGTGAATGCGACAATTTATCGTTGGGCCAAAACACGCGCTACTAATAATTCACAGAAGCTGCTTTATGCTAAAGGCAAAGGAGCGAAGAGCCGGAGTTTAGGCTACATGCTTGCAAAGGCACTTGTACTGAACAACATCAAGAAGAAAATTGGACTTGAGAGCTGTACTGCATGCTATTCGGTGTTAGCCCCGCTCGATTTCGAGCTCGAGCGGCTTTTTAAGACGGTTGATACGCCAATCTACCAGCTCTTTGGTACTGCTGAGACGTCTGGTTTTGCTGCAATCAATTTCCCGCACGCTTGGGAGTTAGGAAGCTGTGGTCGTGCATTGCCTGGCACCACGATCCGATGTGATGAGCGTTCTCAAGAAACAGTACTACGCGGCCGTAACGTATTCCTAGGCTATCGAAGGAGTACACCTCGACGTGTGAATCAGGCGGCTAGATCTGGTGTTGCTAGCGTGGGTGGTCAATGTACGTCGATGTCTGACCCGGATGGATGGCTTCGACTCTGGCAGCGTGGATTTCTGACCCCGACTTGTTTCCTCAAAATAAGTGATCCGCGAGACTTTATTGTGCTCGCAACGGGCGACTGGGTCCCGATCCAGCCTTTTGAGTACTCGATGATGGAACTGATGCCGGAGCTTGACCGCGCCATGTTGGTGGGCGACGGCCGAACGTTTTTGAGCGCACTCCTCTTTCTTAAGACTAACAAAGTGGTTCATCGCGCAGCAACAGCAGCAAATAAACACGCCAGGGGTCTACTACTGAACGAGGATGCATTGAAAGTGAGTCGCAGTATTGGCAGTGCTGCGTCCACAGTAATAGAAGCGATCCGCTGCCAGCAGTGGGCCGTACATTTTGACACTGTGTTGGAAAAACTGCCCCAAGTCTGTTCCATATCCGGTCATCGTGTCCGCAAATGGATTTTGATGGCTGCCGACTTCACCATCGAGTCAGGCGAGCTGGACCCGGATACAGGTGCTGTATGCCGTCGCATCGTGGACAACAAGTACCAGGCACTTCTCGACTCAATGTACAGCTAAAATCACCGAAACTCAGAGCAAAGAAGTGCAGCGAAGGCGCTGAAATGCCGGTATCTACTGACCTGCACTTCAGTTTGAAGTGTTTCCCGACCGCATGTCTCTAAACCTGAATGGCGGTTCTTCATTCTGTATAGACAGAGCAGCTACAATTCTTGTCCACGGGCGGACAAGACAAGGAGATTAGTGCGATGACACCTCACGACACCGAAATGTGTCGTTGGGAGTGAGGTCAGACGCAGGGACTACTATGACAGGCACGCCTGTCCATCTGGTAAATCGGATTACAAGATTGCTGCCATACTCGTTGGTACGTAGTATTCCTGCTTCTCCAGCACAATTGCGATCGCTGGTGACTATGCAACAGATCAAGCAGAGGTTGTCTGCAACAGTGATTGTTGTCGAGTGGACTGCTACTTTGTGTGGAAGATTCTAACCGAGAGGGTGACATCTCTGGAGACGGGGCTTAGCTCAGAAATGCAAGCTGGGCGTCATTTTTGAAGGTGCAGCCTGTGCAGCAACTCGGCTCGTTGATCACAAGGTCGTCCTTGACTTTGGAAGCTCGCTGGACATTTGTTCCTCTTGATTAAAAAATGCAAGGCGCTTGCGTTTTTCCCATGCAGAATACTCGAGCATCGTGAAAATCAGGCTGTGTGGTGGCTTTGGCCTGCATAGCAACACCAAAGTCTACTTCATCCTTACCGGCTATACTGGAGGTTGCGTATGTTGGTAAGTGCGACGGGGCCACTCTCACCTATTTCGAGCAGCTTTGCTGCACTCAGACCAGACACAATGAGCAACATGGAGCTTTGCGATGGATGCGCTGGAGGCGCCTTGACTGGCTGTCTAAGCTTGTTAAGACCTCCAACATTTCTTTGGCTGACTGTCAATACAAGTACGCGTAAGAGAGACGACTTCTCCCAACAACATCGGCAAATGAATGACTTTATTGCAATTTACCTCCTATGCGATATGGATTTTTTGACAGCGTTGTCATTGTGGTGCATCATAATCAACAGCCAGCCCGCAAGCAGGACGTCAGTGCTGACGTTTCGCTGGCTCACGCCTGACTTTTTACCAATTCTTCCCCGGTGTGCTGCTCGTGCATTGTGAACACACACGCTGCGCTTCAGCTTCAATAGTCCACTCGATCAATCGGGAATGGATAGTGTACTGTCGTATGGCGATCGCCATGCAAACCAGTTTCGGGCACCTTTTGTAAATGCAGATTGATCCGGAAAAGTCGAGTAAGGACACGAAAAGGTTGTCAGTGTTGTGGCTGTTTGAAGTGCATCAGTAAGCTGCATCCCGCTTTTGTGTGGTCGTTCCTCTGCGAGTGCTTACGACACGATCAATAACAATCGACAAGATTGCTTGATTGCCAAGCAAACTGAAGTGAGACGGCATGGAAGTCGATTTTGATTCACTACGGCTTGCCAATTGATCCGAGCTGAACGTGAAACACATGACAGTGCAAAGCAAATTACACTCTCGATCATTTGCTACATCGAGGGGTAGAAGAAGGCACGACCATTGACCTGAGCCTCGTTGCAGTTTTACTGCCCCGGCCAAGACTAGGAAAAGCATGCACACTGCGTTCGAAGGCATGTTGCACCTGATTACTTCGGACAACTTTCAATGCTTCAACTTGAAATAGCAGTACTGATGAATCGTGTAGCAACACCAGCGTTTTTCGTGGATAATCATCATGTCTGGATCGGCTTTATAGGAGGCAAGTGCAGATGCACCGTCGATCAAATGCATCCGTTACTGTCTCCTCGCATGGAGCTAATCGAAAAGTGGAAAGCTGCGATCTTCAATGACAAATATCGGCTACGAACTTGTCGTTGCTGTTCTACATGAGACCCAGACACGACGGCGACGACACGGCGCCCACAGAAGTGCCACAAGAGAAGATACTTTGCGACCCAGTAGATACACAAACGTCCGCGACTTTACTTGCCGGCATCGGTGAGCCACTCTACTCACTGTCAATGCCGCGAGTCGAATCAACCGCTCGACAGCATGACGTGTCCGAGAAAAGCACCAGCACGTCAGCGCACTGGAGCTTGCAAACACCTTCCGTTCAGCTTGTGGTGGTATATGGATGTCTTTGACGATTACCAACAGAGAGGTGTCAGCAGCATGCAAGGACAGTTGTGCTGCCTTTCAATCGCATTGGCAAAGACATATGCGGTGGACGAGTAGGACTTTGAATCGGACTAGAGATACGAAGGGCAGCATGCAGGTAGGCGCGTCTGGTGTCAAATGCATGCTAGAGCTGTAAGTTTACCTTCGATAATGACTGTGGTTGGCCTTCGTCGAGAACAACGTCAAGTTTGACATGCGCTACTTATTTAAGGTCTCAATTGTGATTGCCTCCGCAGAAAGCAGATGCTGGTGCAGTAAACTACGCTACCACAACGAGCGTGGTAAAAAGAGCCGACCGTCGTGAGCAAATGTCTTGACTGGCCAACGTTCCACATGGCATCGAAGTTATTGCAGAGAAGTCGTTTGTCAATACCATTTGCGTTGTGCGAGCACTCGTTGCAAACGCGAGATAGCGAATGTGCGTAAGAACATGGAGCATGCCACCTGCTACCTCCACAGCGCCAATTACAAAGTCATAGTACGAACCGATGTAACGACCATTGACTGCTGTAGCAAATTGGATGCCTTCATTATCAGGCCAGCCGGTTATAAACAATAAAAACGTATCCGCTGCATGATCTCACGTGTCTCCTTCTGCAAAGAACCGAAATAACCTATTCTGTGATATTCACGAAACGCTTCTAGTAGTTGGGCTGCGCGCGTCTCCATTCCAGGGACGCTTTCGAACAATTGAAGATATGCAAATTGCTCCGCCAGCGATCTTCTCGCGTTGTCCAACGCACGGACGACGTCATTGTCACTAAACTCACCGTAATTTTCTCGGTATGCGTCCACATATCCAAGAAACTGTTTGAGTTTCTTGAAGAAGACTTCAGGATCTTCTATTTGCTTTGCGCGCCCTGCGCGATCAAATGTCGCAATCAAGCGATCCACCTTTGCAATGGGCAATTTCCTGAACACTTCTGCAGGACCTGCATTCGCTTCCGCCAGCAACTTGATCTTCATTAGCTTCTTGCGTCTGGCAGGCAATAACTTCTCCATCTTTGACGCCAGATCCTTCAACTCGTTATCGGCTCGAAGACCGTGAAGGAATGCATTCACTTCTTCTGCTCCACTGCAAAACTCCAGTGTGTCGAGTACGATCTCTTCTGAAAAAAGGTGAGCATATTCTTTGCCAGCAAGAGCGATAGAATGTTTACGGTTCCACCCTTTTAAAATATCCAATCCACAGCTTGAGCTCGAGACGGATGCCAGGCCACTTCGTGGGCCCTCCAACACCATGCGCACGAATCTCCACTGCGCGAGGCAATATCCTTAAGACATCCCTAGGTTTCACATCTGCTTCCAGCCACCTAGGAAGCATCCGACTCAAGGTAGCAGGGTGTAAAGCAACCAGCTGTTTTTCCCAACCATAGATAATTGGTCTCGGTTCGAGGAACTGCTCGAAAATTGCGGTCGTCTCATCCACCCCTCTTCTGTTCAAAAGCCAGGTCACAACGGATTTGCTGTCGAAGTATTTCTCCGGGTAGCTCATGTTGAAATCCAAAACATATTTCAACCACGAAGAAAGTTCGACTTCGACGGAACTCCACGCTGCCTTTTTCTTTACTTCACCTGTCAGTCTCCCCATCGCTGCAATGGGCATTAATTCATAAATCTCGTCCGGTCTTATTTCCCATGTCAAACACAATTGCTTGATCTTTTCGGCGTCTTCCGACTTTTTCATAGTTATCACTTCCAGCAAGCTGCTGGCGCGCTCCTTCGAAGGACGAAAGCTCTGAAGCCAATGGAAAAATCTTATCACCCTCCCGCCTTCGCCAACTTTCTTCACCATATGCTCAAGTATCTCAACGTCTTCGAACGCGCGAGTTTGAATGTTAAACAACTCCACATACGCAGACCACTCGTAGAGCTTCTGAAATAAGGTGAGATCCTGATTCGACCCCGAAGGGACATCAACATGCTCCAGAAAGTTCGTATATGCTTTTTTCTGCAAGGCTATCAGTTCCCCCTGTACTCCTTGATGAATTGCAGCGCTCCCGTGTGACACTACATCGTTCAACCCTCTCTCCTCGTCGCGGCGGTGAACAAAGTCGCTCGCTGCCACTGTAGAGTCCTGCGAGTGCAAGTGTCCTGGCCCGTCGAACGCATTAAGTTCCAGAGGAGAATGCAGAGTGGAAATGTTAACTGCCTCATTGTTCGTCCCACTGTCGACATTGATTCTAGAATCGGCACTTATGCACCAAGAAGACGGAGGCCGTGACCACGTGACGAGTGGGACGCATCGTTCATTTTCCTAACTGCGAGGGGTTTTGAGAAATGAGAGAAGCCAGTTCTCCTGGTCGGAATGTGTGGACCACGCAGATGTCGATCGATCGACCGACCGACCAGTTCGTGTCACTACTGCAGGGGATGGTCATAATGCTGACATAGTGTCGGTCGCAAGGAACCACAAGCCAGCCAGCCTGCTGCTCCGACATTGGCTATAAATGCGTCCTCCTCACATGATCAATGCTACCGGCTGGGTTCATTTTTGATTCGGCTATGCCATTCAATTTCATCATCTGAAGGAGCTCAGAAAGACGCCCAATTCCGCCAGGAGTAGATCGTAAGTACTCAATTCACTAATATTGTTTACCCATTTACTTGCCCGTTCGAAGCCCGGACAGACGATTTCCGTAACAGGGTGAATCGTCACATAACAATTTATAAGAAATTGTTAATAGAATATAACTATAAGAGTTATATTCTCAGAATATTGTCATAAGGACAATATTCTGCAGCATTTACGAGTAGTTCATAATTGGTTGATATAGGCCATTATATCAACCAACGAAGACGCGCCACGACAGACGCACGCAATGAGTGGTGAGCAGATAGTTGATTTACACATTTGTATTTAGACATAGTTAGATGAAGATAAATAGTGATTTATTGCAGACATTAACTATGATAAATACAGTTCTACTTTTTACTTTAACCAAGTACTCGCTTCTTCTTACCGTCTTCCTCTGCACGTACCAGTGTACGTGAAGTTCCGAGGCACCGCCTTATTCTGTCATCAGAATAAGTAGCTTGTGCTACTGTCATCAGTACAATCTTCAGGGTGCCCCGTTACACCTGGTGGCAGTTCGTAGTCCGTCCAAGGACCACGTTCACATCTAACATGAATATGTTAGATGATGAAGATGACCAAAGCTTTCACGCTACGCGTGACGGCTACTCCCATTTGAGCGATGTCGAATGGGATGCGGTTGAACGGATGGGTTCAACCATGGGCATCCATGCTGTTAGCGTCATGCTAGAGGCTCTCAATAGAGATGCCCAACATGCTACTATCGCCAAGTTCATTCAAAATGAACTTGACGCAGAACGCGTGAAAGTAGCCTTGCTTCACCAACAAGGTTCTCAACAAGCAGAGTTGTTGAGAGAACAGGGTGCTCAACAGTTTGAGCTGTTGAGACAGCAGCAGGCTGCTGCTGGTGGGTCGATGCATTCGCGTCGACCCGAGACCTTGAAGATTGACATCTCCAAGTATAGGGGAGTCGAAGAGGACTCGCTCTTGAGATGGTTCGTCGAATTGGATGACGCCATAAGGGCGCGTCGCATCGACGATGGGGAAATGCAAGTTGCATTTGCCCAGTCAAATCTGGCAGGACGTGCCAAGACTTGGGCACTGGGGCTCAAGTTGCACGACCCATACGCGTTTGGGTCGTTAGAAGTCGTCAAGTCGCGGCTCAGACAAACGTTTGAACCGCCTAGAGCTGAGCTCAGAGCTCGAACCGAACTCTTGAAGCTCAAACAGGGTAAGCGTGATGTGCACGCTTACGCACAACATATCCGACATCTCACGAGTTGTATAAGTTCCAACCCGGTTGATGAACACACGTTGGTTTCGGTGTTCATGCAGGGTCTTGCAGATGGTCCCGTGAAGACTCAACTGTTCCGACTTGAACTAGATTCACCAGAACAAGCCATTTCCATTGCGGAACAGGAAGACTTCAGTCTGAGACAGGCTCGCACCAGCTCGACATCATATCGTCAAAACCGAGGCGATATGACAGCTGAGGTCCAGAGCCGATGGAACTCTGCTATGTAGAGAGCGAGAAGGCTCGCTCTACAGACTACATGAAATAGCAGAAATGCAACAGATGTCAGAAGACAGGACACTACGCTTATGAGTGTAGTGCCCCTCGTCCAGTGTCTCGCAATACTGGGTGTAGTAACCGTCCACCCATGAGAAAGGGGCAGGGACGCGGGTCCGCTGTTGGTGCAAAGACGCAACAACGGGATGGACCGTCAAAAAACGGACAGGATCAGTAGGTGCGGGGCACCCTACTAGTCCAGCAACGTCAAGAGAATTTGTTGGCCTCTTGATGAAGGTTGCTCCCAACACACAAACGTTGTGCGTTGCTGCTCTAGGTAATGAGGACTCACTCATTACCTTGAAACTCGAAGTGACGAATAAGTTGTCCCTTCGAGCTCTAGTCGATTGTGGGCGTCCAACAATTTTGTGCGACGCCAATCGCTAGAAGATGGTCACTTCAAGTTCAGTGAATGTGACACACCTCCTACGAGGATGACGGTACGTCTTGCGACAGGCGCATCCGTAACCGTCATGAAGCGTATAGTGAAGATTCACTATACGCTAGAAGATACCCAATATGACGATGACTTTATCGTATTGGATTTGGATGACAAATTTGATGTCATCCTTGGAATACCGTGGCTCAGAAGGTACGAACCACGGGTAAACTGGCAACATCGAAAAGTAACGATGCCTGCCACTTGTTCATCAGATGGCCATCTGATGAACGTTTTGGAGCGTCCACAAGCGTGTGGATGTACTACGAGTGAGTGCGATGGCCTCACTTGTGGTACGGTCGTTAGTACGACTGCACAAAACCTTAGTGTACCAAACGGTTACACTTCGGAGCAAAGTTCCGGCGGCTGTGAGGAAACACAGGCTGCGCCGAAGGTCCACCACTCGAATAAGTCGAGTGGACCGGGACAAAGATGTATCCCTAGCGGGGAACAACTAGAAAAGAAACAATCGATCGCTCAGGTTAAGCGAAACGATAATCCTAGATCGACTGGAGAGTCTTTCGTAGAGGATCTCGCTGTGGTTGCGCAACCACAGCTAGAGGAAGTAAAGGGAATAAGTCTCTATAATACAAATACGGCGGAAATAAGTTCCCCGAAACCCGAGGGAATAAGTCCCCGGGAAGCCAAAGGAATAAGTCCTTCGAAGCCTGTGGGAATAAGTCCCCAGGAAATGACAGAGACATTGAATGTCATAGTCAATAACGGATCAAGTTAGGCGCTTATACACTTGATCTGATTGCGCCTCCGAAGTTGACTTCGGAGATCACTCAGTTGCCAACGCTCGAACATAAAAGGATCTTGCGTGATCTGCGTAGTGGCAAAGCCAAGCAGATCTGCGTACTCGTCGCTGACGACGAGTGTGTAACCGACATAAGGTCAGCAACAGTGTTCACTGAGAACGAGAGAGTTCTCAGTAGTTCATCTATGGACGAGAGTGTCCTAGATGAAAAGACACGAGTTGAGCGATATGACTCCCAACCGCGGGAATCGCTCAAGACAAATCCTCTCTATGAAGATTTGGTTGAATTCAAGGATGTATTCCCTGAAACTGTTCCGTGCGAATTACCGAAGGATAAAGGTATTCGACACGAGGTCGAGCTTAAACCAGGCTCGAAGTACTGTGTCATGAAGCAGTGGCCACTGCCTCGTGAACAAGTACTTGCGATCGACAAGTTCTTTGCCGATCGTTTAGCTGCGGGCCATGTGAGGGAATCAACTTCCCCACATAGCTCTCCGACCTTCTGTGTGCGAAAAGCAACAGGAAGGTGGCGGATAGTGCATGCATTTAACAAGTTGAATGCTGCAACGGTACCGGCTCAGACGCCGATACCGAGGAAGGACGTAATCATTGATGGTATGTCAAAGAGTACCATCTTTTCGCCCATGGATTTGATGGATGGCTTCTATCAAATCCTTATGCGAGAACGGGATATACCCTATACCGCAGTTAACACGCCTAGCGTCATGCTCTGGGAATGGCTAGTAATGCACAAGGGCTAAGTAATGCCCCTGCCACGTTCAACAGATGTGTATCACATCTGTTGAGACCAGTACGAGAATTCGCGCCGAGTTATTTCGATGACGTATTCATCCATAGTCGGGCTATGGATGGAAAGTCGGACGTTGAGGTTCACAGGTACCACGTCCGACAGGTTCTTACAATCATGCGAAAGCATCGATTGTATGCAAACCTCAAGAAGTGTATATTTGCAGCAAGCGAAATACCACTTCTTGGGTGCATCGTTGGTAAGAACGGTGTACGTCCTGATCCCGAAAAGATCAAGGCGATCACCGACTGGCCTGTGCCAGTTGACGTCAAAGGTCTTCGAAATTCCTTGGGCTAGCGGCGTATTTGCATAAGTATTCACGCAATTGCGCCGAGATGACTGTGCACCTCTCTCGTTTGTTGAAAAAGAACGAGAGGTGGTTATGGAACGCTGAATGTCAACGCTCCTTTGAGGGTATCAAGCAGAGCTTGATACAATCCCCAGTCCTAGCAATAGCCGATCAGGACAGGCCAGTTCATGTGGTCTATGATGCCAGCGATTTCGCAATCGGCTGTGCATTAATGCAGTACGATCTTGAAGGCGTTGAACGCGTCGTCTGCTATCAGTCGCGTCAGCTGCAACCAGCTGAGCGGAACTATCCAGTGCATGACAAGGAACTCCTTGCCATGAAGTATGCACTCACGAAGTTCAGAGTCTATCTATCAGGAGATAGACCCTTCATTGTTTACACTGACCATGCGTCATTACGCACGGCAGTGAACAGCCCGCACCTTTCACAACGAATGGCGCGGTGGTTGTCATTCTTTGCAGAATACAACTTTACGGTAGATTACAAACCATGACGACTTAATGTCGTCGCTGATGCACTCTCACGTCGTCCCGACTTTGAACCAGTCGTGAAACCCAACAGTGAGGCAGTCACTGTTGCGGTTATGACGTCCTCAGTACCATCTTCAACGTTGCATGATGATGTGAGGTGGGCATATGCCCAAGATGGTGAGATTGTGAAGCTCTTGACACATCTCTCACGACCTTCTCGAGAGTCGTTGAAACGATTATCGTCTGCGTATCGATCTGCATCGGATCAATACACTACTTACAACGGTTTACTGTATTATACAGCCGTTTCTGGTGACACACCACGTGTTGTCATTCCAGATGATACTTGTCTGCGTTTGCGGATCATGTTCGAGTATCACGATGCTACTATAGGAGGAAATCGTGGCCGTGAGCAAAAATATCTCACGGTGAGTCGAGACTTTTACTGGCCCCGCCAGTATCAGTTTGTGCGCAAGTACATTCGCGCATGCGAAGTCTGTCAGCGAGTGAAGTCAAGTCCTTCACTGCGTGCACCTTTACAGCCTCTACCGGTTCCGGCTGAGTGCTGGGAATCCATCTTAATGGATTTTGTCTTCGGGTTACCCAAAGACGCACACGGGAATACGGGTATTCTCGTATTTGTTGACAGATTCAGCAAAATGGTACACCTTGTGGCTGTGCCAGAGTCAATCACGGCAAGTGGCTGTGCTTGTATCTTTATTGACACCATCTTCCGACTTCATGGGTTGCCCCGTGAACTCGTATCGGACAGAGATCCACGATTTACTGCTGATTTCTGGCGTTCCATGTTCAAATCACTCGGAACGCGCTTGAAGATGTCGACATCTGAGCATCCAGAGTCAGATGGTCAGACGGAACGTGCCAATCGTGTCCTCGAAGAGATACTTCGAGGATACGTACACTCCTTTAAGAGTTGGAGTGAGTTCTTGCCAATGGTAGAGTTTGCCATTAACAACTCGGTGCATGCGTCCACGACACATACACCGTTTTACGTGAATGGCTTACGCCATCCGCGTGTACCCACCTTACTAGAGTGTGACTCTGGTTTCAGGGGGGGAGGGACTCGCGCGAGCAAAAACCGATTTGGTTCACGCTCATCATGCTCTGACAAAGAGGTTAATGCGTTTGATGCCGATACCGATAACATCGATATTGAAGAAGATGATGCCAGTGAGAGTGCGGAAGCCCTCACTGAAGAAAAGATTGTTGTCGCTGCAGTGCGCTCACAGCGCACTGAAGCCAACGAGTCAGCAGATGGGTTCATACTGGCTCGTGAAACGGTAGTCCGTTTTGTGCAAGACTCCATCGCCGAAGCGGTGGATAAGCAAAAGAAAATCGCTGACAAGAATGGAAGGGCAAACACTCTTTTATTTAATAAGGGTGACTTAGTCCTACTGTCTACGGTTAATCTACCAAGCATGTAGTGACTAACTTGGGTAGTAGTAAACTTCTACCCAAGTACATCGGCCCATTTCGTGTATTGCACCGCCTAGGCAATGCATACACAATCGAGTTACCACGTAAGATGCGAACGCATCCCACTTACGTTGGTCGGCTTAAGCCGTACCACCAGTACGCTGCTTCTTCCGGTGAAGAACGCCCTTGCGCTCAAGCATCTCGCAGAGAGACTTGTGCTCCCGATGGTGGGCATCGACAAGGGTCTGAAAAAAGTTATCTCATCCCGAGACCGATCAACAATCCCACGAGCTACCCGTAGCTCGTCACGAAGAGACGTCAGAGCTCTCTCGTTCTCAAGCTGAGCAAAGGCAAACTCAGCTCGATGCTTCGAGACAGCGTCCGCCAGTTGGAGACGTCAGTCCCGCTCATGTTCGAGGTCGCCGCGTAACCCTTGCGTTACGCGATCAAAGAAGCTCTCGGGAACACACGCTTCCCCACGATTGTGTGGAGAGCGTCTTCCCTCCTCCTCCACCCCCATTAGAGGACTCTCGCGGTGGCCAGCGCTATCTGGTTGAGCAGCTGTTGAACCACCGCGACGTGAACGGACGTCGGACGAGTTACCTCGTCCGGTGGCGCGGCTATCCCCCGTCCTATGATACTTGGGAGACCCGCTCCCAACTGATGGTTGACGTACTGGGTCCGGTCGGCAGTACGATGCGGCACATCCTCTACCGCAGAAGGACCGCCGGAGAAAGTCTTCCCGGCACGGTCGTAAAGGGATTTCAGGTTGTCAATCACTTCGTACATCTCACTAGAGATACGTACGCGCCACCACGGGCTATTCTGGAGGTAAGCCTCCTTAGATGCTCGTGCAGAGTTGTTCACACAACACGGGGACGAGTCTCCCCAAGAGAGGCAGGGTAATCCCTTTCTCCCTAGACAGACGATGCATCTTGTAGCGTGCACCAGTCGGGGTTCGCTATTCAAACTTATCACGAGCTTTGATAAGTTTGTCGTTCCAAGCGTCACGACCTACATCCTCAAGGTGACACCGAGGCTCATATTCTGTGAAGACATGAGTGTCTTCATGACGAGCGCCTGCATCACCAGGTGACACAGGCTGAGTCGCTTCAGCAACCGATGAGACATCAGTTGCTGTGGTTTCTGCTCCGGCGTCCGCACAGAGACGTGCGGACGCGCTCTCGGCGGCCTTGCTCGCGCATCACATGGGCTTGTTAACCATGCGATGACACTGTTGGAAAGTGGACTCGGACCAACAAGTTCAAACCCTGTCCCAAATGATTTGGGACGAGTATCCATTTAGTCAATCAGTCACTAAAGTGACTGATGGTTAAGGGGGGTGATGTAACGGGGTGAATCGTTACATAACAATTTATAAGAAATTGTTAATAGAATATAACTATAAGAGTTATATTCTCAGAATATTGTCATAAGGACAATATTCTGTAGCATTTACGAGTAGTTCATAATTGGTTGATATAGGCCATTATATCAACCAACGAAGACGCGCCACGACAGACGCACGCAATGAGTGGTGAGCAGATAGTTGATTTACACATTTGTATTTAGACATAGTTAGATGAAGATAAATAGTGATTTATTGCAGACATTAACTATGATAAATACAGTTCTACTTTTACTTTAACCAAGTACTCGCTTCTTCTTACCGTCTTCCCTCTGCACGTACCAGTGTACGTGAAGTTCCGAGGCACCGCCTTATTCTGTCGTCAGAAGAAGTAGCTTGTGCTACTGTCATCAGTACAATCTTCAGGGTGCCCCGTTACAATTTCAGTGCAACTCGCGGCTTCAGGTCCAATTACATTCCTTCCTTCCTGCCCGAACTCCAATCTTATTAGCAACAACAACACAGGTGCATTTTAGGGGATTGTTAATACAGCCCACTTTGTACGAGATACACCCCATACACCACACCCGTGCTACGCCACAATATGGTTTGTACGACGAACATCGCGCTAATTCACTTGTGTACGACCACTATAGCACAACAATCTACAAAAGTCGTGTATATGGTATGTGATTTTACCAGTCTATCTTGTATCTGCGAAATGACTATTGCGTCGTTCAAAAACTAGCATCGCAGACGCAAATAGCCCTCAGTACTCGTCACCCGCTGTGTTAGCAGAATGTACGTCGATAAGAGTAAGCACAAGTGAACAATATCGCGATGAAAAACAAGCTATAGCACGTTTGTAGCATCTTGGAGGGTGAACATTGTGACGCCAGCTGGTCGCATGTTATGCCATGAATCCAAATATTGGCTATGTTGCTCGTTTGAACTGAAAAGGAAAAAGATCAAATACAATATACGTGGTGAATCAACTAATGAAAAGAGACCTATCACATTACCTTGAACGATGGAGATCGGATACTCATAGTGCAGCTAGACAATCATTTTACTATTTGGCCGACAATGATCTGGTCCTAACGCAGATTCAGGATAGACTCGATCGAAAATTTATAGCTGTATATAGAATTTATCGTTCTTAGCGGTAACTTTCTATGCAATGTTCGAATGCGATTACGTTCGGTGTAAGTGAACTTTTGTTTCATCCATTTTTGTGTCTTTCTCGACTGAAACGTAGCTATTGGCATTTCTTCATGAAATGACTAGCCATTTAGATGTATCTGACATGTTATGACAAGTGAGTCGTTCTCGATCATCAATGTGTTTTCGAAAGCAAAGAGCTCCAATCGGCTATTGTGTGCGATAACAAGTTTGCTTAGAAGATCACTCAACATTTGTGTACGATTGATGCAGAAGGTGATGTGCGATAGTGGACGTACAGAGGTAATTGGCGTAAAGTTTATGGTACAAATCAGATTGTGATGTGGTATTGGTGTAAGATTGGGGTGTATTATGTAAAGAGTGAGGTGTATTCAACAATAGCCCTTTTAGTGCGCACAACAATATTCATTTTGGAAATTCGCAAGTGCGGCCTTGTCACTGCTGCCGTCCGCGATGCACATGGACCTGCCACATACTCATCGTTATGCGTACATGAAGATTCCACTAACACTTTCGTCTCGTATAGAAAGATGTTCTTCATGAACTTAGTTATGCCTATTATGCCCGCATTGCCAATTGATAGACGTGCGAATTTGTACTTTTAGAAGGACATCTATCCAATTATCATGAAGACGGTGATTCCTTTATTAAGTAGAGATGACGTGGAGTTAAAGAAAGGCGGCCTTGATCTTACACCGGATACATCCTCTAGATGAGCTATCTGAGATCAAAGCCGACTGCATTGAGGTTGTGAAATTTGCACCAAAGATGTTTTTCAAGCGAGTTCAGCCGAAGAAATGAAACACTGGGTCAAGACTGTACATGCGCACATTTTGTTTCATTTAGTAGCTATACACGTGGCGACTTTTTCATAATGTAGCTGCTGTAGCGCTTATAACGTTAGGAGAACCGAATGATTCGAGTGCTGAGTGCAATCTCGGTGAAGACGCCATAGAATGAGACGTACCGCCCGTTCTAAATTATACTGGGGAAATGCAAAAATGTTCGTGGACCTGATAAGTATTTGGATCCAAAGGAGTAGCGATCTGACAAACGTTAAAAGAAAAATAGGGGTAAACATTTGGCAATAAAGGACTCGGTCATTTTCGTACTGGTAATAATTAAAGGCCACTTGCTTGACGCGCCGTAGATAAGTGCACGCGGGTGACGGTGCCGTAGATCATTATGAATTTGAGAGATGTTTAGACGAATAATTTGACGCACAATAAAGCGGTGATTAATTTATGATTGCATACTTGTTGCGTGACACGATGTGGCGGACGTGAAAGGTGTGGAGATAACCCAGACTTTGGCACTACACCAATGCGGACGCCTCGTGATTTAGTACCTCAACAGCAAAAAATGTCGCTAGATTCGTTAGCCGCGTGAATTGCAGCCATTTTCCGGTAGTCCGTCACATTGGGAAATACTCCTGTATTTAGAAGTCATATACATATTACAATTGCCAGCCTGGACGCAACTAGGCAGTATCACATCGCCCATAGGACTTCCTCTATACTGTGCAAGACAGAATCTATAATTTTGTGGAGACACATTGCGCTTTTATGGACGTAAATGAATGTGAGATTATCGTGTTAGAATGATCGATCCCTTCCAAAGTGGCCTCGAAATGCGGTATCTTCTTCGCCAGTGAACGCTTACCAGCAAGTATGGATTGAAGTAGGGTTTTTAGCCGCAAATCGTACTGAAATTGTCATTTTGGGCTTTGAACGGGCAAGCGGGTAAACAGTTAAAGTGATTGAGTGTTGAAGATCTACTCCTGACGAAATTGAGCGTCTTTCCGAGCTCCTTCTAATGATGGATCAGAATGAACTAGTTGAATTAAAATAAATCCAGCCGTTTAGCATTAGCCTTACAAGCCCCTACTACGCAGCTGCGTGCACACTGGGTCGGCTCTGATGCTGTATGGAAGCTAAACATTGATGGTGTCTGTCCCTATCTTAACGAACATTTAAGCCTTTTTTCCTGACTCTCAAGTCCATTTTTAATGGTGTAGCTAAGGCTGCATCATCGATAAAGAGCTTTACGGAGAAGAATCAACAAATGATTTTTGAAGAATCATGAGTACGTGGTCAGTGTGCACAGGCTCTGCCAATCACTGGGATCTCGTACAGGGTGAGCCACCGTCGCGGCAGACGTCGAGATGACCAAGAGTCCTCATTCCTGGTCGGACAAAATCAAGATCATACACCCATTGAATGTCTGCGAACATAATACACGAACAAAATACGCTTATTAAATATTTTGCCTTGTGTGTGCTCCGGATTCGCAGACTGTGTCACTTCGTATCTCTTGGTATAAGACACTCAAGCGCTCGTGTGGATCCTGACAGGTTTGCTCCAATTCAGCGTATTGCATAAGTCTTCCTTGGTCAGCGTGCACTCGGTAGTGTCAACTACTATCCACCTATGGATATTTCTCTGCTGTAGCGCCACTTTCGTGGACGTAACATCTGAT